GCACGAGCACAGCTGGACCAGCTGTATCAGTGTGCTCACTGCCCCATGTCCCCCTGCCCAAAGCCAGGGCTCGGGGACATGCCCTGCGCCCTGTGTGTCCCAGGGAAGGCAAAGGGGGCTGGAGTGTCCACGGCCACCTAGAAGAGCCTGAAGGCATATAAAGACCCAAAACAGGGACAGACCTACTGACAATGCCAACCAAGGTTGCCAGTTTCCTCTGGGAGATGGAAACCCAGCACCCAGAGCGGGAAGGAGCCAGGAGAGTTAAGCAGGGACACGCAGGCTGTGGGAGACTGTTAGAGAACAAACCGTGCCTGGGAGAGAGCTGTAAAATACTTGGTAGTCTCTCAAGCAAGTTGGCAGGAGAGCAAGTTCAGATGGACTCAAACATCGTTTCCACCTGGTCTGAGAGCGGGCCAGGGAGTGAGGCAGCGGGGCTGAGCTGAGCTCAGAGCCCTGCAGTGACCCCGACTAATGCTCCCTTTTATCACCCGGCTTTAAACACACGCTTTTATGATGTGCGAGAAGGGGGCATATGGTTCTCTAATTAACTCAAGAGTGCTGAGTTGTGAAGTGCTGCGAGGAAAAGCAGCTCCAGCGGGGATGGCAGAGCCGGCAGAGCAGCCCCATCCCTCTGCCAAGCAGCCCCCGCGCAGCTCGGGGGGAGATTCCCTCTCCCGCGGGCACTGCCTGCTCCCGGCACCCCAGCTCCAGAGGGGCTTGGCCAGCCATTCCCCAGGAAAACACCCTCAAACGTGCCACCTGAAAACCTCTGCCTGGTGAAAATGATGTAGATCCAGAGGATGTTCTCACTCAGCAGCCCCCTGGGAGTGTGGCTGCTTCTTCTTCTGAAGTCTCGTTTTGCTCTTTGTTTGTGTGTTTGGATGCTCTTTGCATCCCCATGACAGCAGTGGGGTGATTTTGGCCCTACAGCCTCTGCTGTCATCCATCTGCACACATGGTGCTAGTGGGGACCGTCCTGAACCCACCACACAACTCACCATCCTTCCACTGGATTGGGCTGGGATTCCTCAGCCTCGGCACTCTGGGACTGGGAAACACCCTCCTTAAGCATTTCCAATGGAGCTAAAAGCCTAACGATCATCAGTTTTACCTAAATATGTTATTTCTGTGATTTCTATCCCTGAAAACAAAACTAAATTCCTAATAATTTGGATTCAAGGCAAAAAGCCTGTTTCAGCCTGAAACGCGATGTCTGGGTTTGCTTTATTTATCCAGCCGTGAAATATAACCCAGTTCCATGCTGGGATGAAAAAATCCCCCTTGATTTTCCTTTGAAATGGTGAAATGTTTCATCAGTGCTCTTTTTGTCTGCAGCCTCTTCAGCCAGCAGCTCACCTGGCCCGAGGCAACTTTCTGCAGTCAAAGAATCATTAATTAAATTGAAACATTATCCATGTGCTAGTTACAAATGACGTCTTAACCGGCCCAGTTAAGCCAAAGCATCACTGTGGGCACAGGGATCTGGGTGGCAGCACAGAAGTGAACCTGGAAGCTTCAAAACCTTCATGCCTGAGGCAAATGGGCCCTTGTTTTTGGCACATGGTTGATGCCAGGGCACTCCAGTCATGAGGAGCCAGAGCTTCAAAATACTGGCTTGCAGGAGCACGTGGCAGGAGGAATTGTCTCTGTTCAGCCCATGCTCCTGGGAATAAAGGAAAGGAGGACAGTGAAGCCTCAAGTGTTATCTCAGTGGGAATAAAGGACTTAAGGCATGAAGCTTGAAGTGAGAGGTGAAACTTGAAAGCTGGGAGGAAAATTTAGTGACGGTTGTGCCTCTGAGCAGAGGGAGAACTTGGAGGCAATGGACTGCTTGCTGACAGTGAGGGAGTTCTGACCCAAGGCAAAGCCCCCAAATTCCAGACGCTGCTGATGGACCCTGGTGAAGGACACAACCAAAGACACCCCAAAAGCCGGAGGAGGAGCCGAAGAGCGACCGGCAGCAGGACCCGCCGGCAGCAATTCCCACTCCCCTTGGGCGAGGCTCATCCGTGGCACCATCCAGCCACCCAACACAGCCCGGTGCTCCCCGTCACCCCCCGATTCCTCTGCTCTGCCTGCACTCCCAGCTCCTCTCCTGTCCTCATCTGACTCCTCTTGGCCAGCCTGCCGGGAGGAAACAGCGTGTGTTGGTGGAGGGCCAGGGCCTCGCTTGTGCTGGAGCTCGTGCCAGACTGTGCTGAGCGGCTGAGCCCCCCCGGGGGGCTGCCTTTCGGGGCCTGCTCCCCGGCCCAGACAGCCCTGAGGGGAACCCGAGGACGTTCAGACCTGCCAGGACTGGGCAGCGGCTCCCAGGGCCCTTCGGGAGGGGAGCCAAACCCCGACAGACGGACCAAGTCACGGCTTCCCCCGGGAAGTTGAGACCCAGAGCAGGGCTCGGTGGAGGCAGAGAAGCAAATCGGTCAAACAGCCCCAAAAGGGCAATGAGTGCTGCCCAAGGGCTGTCTGTCACCCCAAACCAGGGGTCTGCCAGTGTTTGTCCCCTCCATCTCCAGGAGAAAGCAGCAGGAAGAGGCTCTGGATTAGCCCTGACACACCCCTGGGAGGGATAGAGGGGCAACTCCTCAACGTGATCCCTCCCGGCTGTACCAGGCATCGGTGAGGGGCTGGAGGTGTGAGGGTTTGCAGGCTGGTGGTGAACTGGCTTGGCTTCCCCTTCCCACCCCATCCCTCACAGGGAAACACAGGCTGGGGATGTGTCAGGAGGGATGTTTCCAGCCCAGGCACTGCTGGAGAAGAGCAGGACCATCGCTGGCCAGTGGCCCTGGGCAGAACCTCTCTGAGGGAGGATTTGGTTGCAGCTGCTGCTGCTCAGGGAGAAAGATTTAAGAACAGCATCAGCTCAAGAAGGGTGGCCCAGAGATGGCTGGGAAGGCATTGGATGAGTCCTGCAGGGATGTAGCTGTGGAGGATCCCCAGGAGGTGTGAGCAAGCCCTGGCTGGTGCTGGGATGAAACCAGGGACCTCCTTCCCTCCTTTGCTCTGTCACAGCTGCTGTCTCTGACGTCTTTAACCCCAACTCAGCCCTTGCAGGAACTTTTGGGCCCCCTTCCCACCATCCCCTCTGCTTGGCATCATCAGCCCCTGCTCAGACCCTCAGCCCTCTGCTGCCTCTGGCACAAGGTCTCAGCTCTCCTTGTTCCCTCAGTTCCCAGCTCTGGGAGCTGGTCCCTTCCATCCCACATGTTGTTCAACCTCTCCTCTTCACTCTCCCATCTTGGATCAGATCTGTATCTCCTCCTTGGTAATTTCTCTGCAATGCCAGACAACCCATCCCTCTCCTGACCCTCCACAGTGCTCTCCTTTTCCAGCTTTCCCTCAAATCTGACACTGGTTCCCCCACCCCTGGCCCCCTAAATCTCTCCTGTATCGATGACCCTCTTGCTGCAGGTCACACCACTTGACTCAAGCCCTGTCCCAGCTCTCCTTGCCTTGGCCCAGCCACCTTCTCAGCCCACACCCTGGTCCCCTCTGCCCTCTCCTCCTGTCCCTACACCCACATTACTGTGGAAACACCCCTAACCTGGCTGCCCCACAGCCCCACAACCTCCTCCACCACTTCCCCAGGTTCCTGACCACGTTATTTCATTAGAGCCATTAAACCCCACAGTCACATTTCCAGTTGCCTGGACAGAGCCAGACCAGCTGTGGACAACCCCCTGACCAGCACCGGGTGCTTTCCCAAGGGGAAAATAATAGGAAAACCCTCCACGGGGGAAGCAAAAGTCCCTGGGCAGCCTGGGGAGGGTGGCACAGGGACCAGCCACCCTCCTGCACGTACATACCCAGCTGCAGCCCTGCTGGAAAGCACATTTTTAGGTTTTTTTGCAGGATTTCTGTCACTTCCCAGCAAGGACATCACAAAATACCAGATGTCAGGGTTGTGGGGCTTTTCGTCACATATGTGGTGCCTCTTTGGGAGTCAGACAAGGAGGCTGGAGATGGCTGATGAACCAAATCCCCACCCTGACAAGTGTTTTGGCACAGGGAATTTATCTTGAGGCCATGGCAGAGTCAAACCCTTCCAGCCTTTGGGTCACCTCCAGGCAGGACAGGCCAGTGACCTCCAGCCTCTGTGGGGAGTTACAGTTCCCTGCAAGGAGACTTTTTGGGGAAAGAGCCTCCTCCGTGGATCCACAGCCTTGTTGCCAGCAGCAAATGCATCACTCGCCTTGCAGGTTTTTTAATCCCCATCTCCCAGAGCCCTGTGCCTGGGGGAGACTCAGATTTCACTCTGCTGAAAGGAAAACTCTAAGCCCTCCTGGATGCACAGAAAAGCTGGAGGCATAAAAAGCAGAACACGAACCATACCCAGTATGTGCTTTTTTTTTTTTTTTTCCCTTTAATAATTCTTAATTTGAAGCTCTGCTCTTGATTTTTGGGCTGTGAGTCATGCTCAGAGTTATCAGGGCTCTGGGAGCCATCGACTGGCATTTGCAGGGTGCACTGGGAGGGGAGGGAGGCAGCCCAGCCCTGCCTGCTATATGTTTCCCCTCAACACCACAAGGATCTGGCTGCGAGATAATAGAGCTCCACCGCCTTTTCCTCAGGGCCCCTCTGTGCTACAGACACAAACTGGAGCACAGGCAGTGTCTAAAGTTCATGTTCTGGCTGAGTGTTACCAGTTACATCTCTGTGCTCAGTTGCCCACGACTTGCTTCAGCTTTCCCCTCCTGGGTTGATGTTTTCCAGCCTCGCTCTCCGCACAAAGGCGATTTGAGAGTCCCTTTGAACACGCTTTGGCCGTGGCGGAGCACACAGGCAGCGAAAAGCAATATCTTCATAATAAACATACCCCCTTTTTCCTTCCCCCCCCCCCCCCTTCTTTCAAGAATACAAAACAATCCTCCAATTTTGAAGCTGCTGGGGGTCAGAGCTGACATCTGGCAGGGAATCAGTCCTGACCGAGGACGACCGCGGCGCCTTCCAGTAAACACTGTGCTTCGGCTGCTGAAAGCTCCATCCACTCAGGCACAGCATGTTTTGCAGTGATGGTACCTTTTAATCAACCCTTGGAATGCTCACAGACGGCCCCGAGAAGGATGAAAACAGCCACTTGAAAGCTCCAGGCACAGGTCGGCGGGGATGGAGGCAGGCAGAGGTTTCACACCCAAGCTGGGAGCGGGGCCGTGCGGCGGCCTGGAGTTACCTATGGGCAGCAGATGTTCAGCTGTCCTTGGGAAGGACAATGTGAATGAGATGTGTGGAGCCAGGACCACTAAATCCCTCCTTGGCCAGCACTGGATTAGAGCAGTTCAACGATACATCACTGAAGGCTTCCCAGAACTGCAAAATACCGAAGAGAATTCAATATAAATCATAGAAGGATTTAGGTTGGAAGGGAAGCCTGGAGGTCTCCATCCCAGCCCCTGAGCAAGCACTCCAAAGCTGGGTCCAACTGCTCAGGGCCTTGTCCAGGCACGTTTTGAACATGTCCAAGGATGGAGATCCCGTCACTGCTGTCCCAGGGCTGCACCACTCACAGTACAATCCCAGCCTCACTTGTGCTGCACATCCAGGGGTCTTCCCAGAACTAGGAGAGCTGATTATCCACCAGGGAAGGGGAGAGGATGAGGGAGAGGCAAAGCCTGTGCGGGAGGCACATGGCTGTGACCAAGGCAAGGAGAGCTGGAACGAGCGCTGTGACCTCCAGCAAGGGGGTCATCAGTTCAGCAGTGATTTGGGGGCCAAAGGGTGGGGGAACCAGGCACAAGAACTGGGGAAAAGATGGAAAAGGAGAGCACCATGGAGGGACAGGAAAGGAATGGGTGGCCCAGTGTTACAGAGCAGTTACCAAGGAGGAGTCGTGGATCTGGCCCTGGTTGTTCACACACAGCTGAAAAGAGAAACCGGGGTGAGCGGTCTACAGAAGGGGCTGGGGATCGTGTCTCCCCTTCTCTCCCGAGGAGATTTCAATGGAAAACATTCCCAAAGGATCTTGGCTGTGGGAGAACGATGCTGTTTCTGTTGGCCATGCCAAGGAAGAGCAGCCTGCTGTCACACTTGGCTGCAGCTCCAGCTCTGGTCCCACCAAGCAGCATCCTCGTGTTGGCAAAACCTCTTCCCATAAAAACCCCAGGCAGGGACTGCCAGGGAAAGAGGAGCTAATGGGAAGTTAAGGTTGGGCAGGGTATGACTGGGGTCACACGAGCCTTGTTAGTTCATCAAACCCAACGGGCAGATGTACAGTGGGACCTGGCAGGGAGAGGTCCCACCGTCCCCAGACAGTCCCTGCAGTGCTGGTAACACCTCTCATGTCTCCAGCACCAAGTGTACCTGGGGACAGCTGAGACAATCCCACCCCTGGGACTGCTCAAGGCCAGGTTGGACAGGGTTTGGAGCAACCTGGGATAGTGGAAGGTGTCCCTGCCCATGGCAGGGGTGGAACGAGATGGTCTTTAAGGTCCCTTCCTACCCAGGTCATTCTATGATTCTATGATTCTAGTCTAGGATCCCATGATGCTGAGACACATGTCCATGGTGGCTTCCAGCCTCATCCCGAGGACAGGATGGCTCCCTCAGCTGCCCCAGGCATGTGCCATATGGGTGTCCTGTGGGGCTGTGGCATGGGCTGCACAGATGGGGTTGAGTGTTCTCCCCAGGGAACGTGCTGGGGGATGCCACGGGATGCACAGGGGAGAGGGAGATGGGGACCCCACCCCCAGACCACATTTGGAGTACCCAGTGATCCTCAATGCTTTAACAGTTGCCCATCCAGCCCAGTCTCCAGCCCAACTCCATGACTCTTGGATGGTTGATGGGAGCAGGGGCTGATGTTCCCCTGCTCCAGAGACCCTGCCATGCACCAGTCCATGGGCAGGGCTTATCCAGGTTTCTGGCCAGAAAACACAAGAGCTGCAGCTGGAGCCATGTGCTGGGGTGTTGGCTGGTGCCCTGCCTGCTGCCCACAGCTCAGACCTGGCTGCAAATGTCAGAGCTGGCCCTGCAGAGCCATGGGGACAACTGTGGGCCGGTGACAATAGCTCTGAGTGTGGCACTCGGCGAGCCAGAAAGTTCCACTTGCTGAAAAAAAGGCCGAGCAGAGACTTGCCTTGATTCCTGGGTACCACAGAGCCCTGTCCATGCCTCACAACCCACCTCCCCCTCCTGCCCCTGCCCTGGGAGGCATTTCTCTGGCCTGACTGACAGAGGTGTCCATTTCAGACAGTTTGGAGCTTTCTTTTTTGCACCATCCAGAGGGCTGACAACCTGTTGGTCAACAATTAACAAGGCAGAAAAGCTCATAAGGATGCTCAGCATGGGAAGAGGCAGCTTCCCTGTCCCTTGGTGAAAGATGGAACCTGCCCCACCTTCCTGGAACGAGCACCATGGCCAAACACTCGTTCAGCAGAGAGACAGGATGGACGAAAACCATGTAGCCCCACACGATGCTGGTGAGTCTGGCTGTTCTGAACCCTTGTACCAGCCTCAGCTGCCCTGGGACCTTGAGGAGGCCACGCTGTTTCCGTGGCCTGCCCCTCACACATACCTTTCCTTTGAGTGCATCCATAAAGCCCCGTCACACCCCGTTACTACGGCAACGCCGTCAACAGCTCATGGAGCAGGATTGGGGTCTGGGGGGCCAGGCAGGTGTGGGGCTCCTCGTAGCTATGGCAAAGGGGTGTTTACTTCTGTGTTTTGCACGTTGGTGTTACCCCCGGGACAGCTCGGAGTGTGTGACAGCAGCGTAAGGCTCTTTGGCATCTCCCCCAGCAGCTATGTCAGCGTTCGGGGGTCCGTGTGTGACCTGCACCTGCCACCGCGAGGGGACTGGATGCAGGAAGCATCCGTCCTTCCCAGAGCTCCCCAGCTCCCGGCAACTCCCGGCGGGTCCCGGATGTGGCCCCAGGTGCTCTCGTGCTGGGTTTTCTCACCCAGACACTGCACTATGCAGCAATTCCCTTCTTTTCCCCATTGCGGGAAGAATTTCCTGCCTTGCCCCCTTCCCACCAGACAGTACCCGCATCTGTGCCTTCCCCAGCAGCTTCTCCTCGGCTCTTTGCACACTTGGGGGGAGACTCCCTGCGCGCTTGGGGGGACACTCCCAGCCCGTCCCCGGGGGCGGCTCGCGGAGCGCTCGGCTCTGCCCCGGCCAAATCACAAAGGGTTTGGATCCCGCTCCCGGCGCGAGTGCCAGGGGCGGGGAGATCTTGCCTCACATCTATTCTTTCTAGGTACAAATCACGCATTCAAAAGTCAGAGCCCTTTCACTGGCAAGGGATGGGAGCTGCTCGGAGCCGGCCAGCTGCCCCAGTTCTGCTTCCCAGTTCTGCTTCCCAGCGAGGCCGCTTTCCCAGCCCCGCTCTGGGCATGTTTTACAGACAGACGCACCGAGGATGCATCACCCGGACTCCCGGCCAGCCCCGTCCGGGGGTCTGTGTCCCGCGGGTCACATCACAGCCCTGAGGCTGCTGGAACCGCTGCAAAGCTGCTGGTCCCTGCATCCATCAGCTCCCGCGCCGCTCCTCTGGAGCAGAGAGCTCGTGTTTAACGACCGCGTGTGTTTTCACTCAAGCATTACATCACCCGGCAACGCCAGCCGGGGGACGGACGGACGGACAGACGGGCCAGCCCGGCTGTGCTGCCCCGGACGATGCTCATCCCCTCTCCACATCCTGGGGTGCTCCATGTCCCCAGCCTGCAGCCTTTTGCAAGGATGCAGGTGAATAGAAAATCCACTCCCAATCCCACACAAGTCCATGCAAAACCCACCGGGGGGCCAGCAGCTCATCCACAGCCCCCCCCAACACCATCCCCTGGCACGTCCCAGCGCGGGGTGTGGAGGGCAAAACGTTCCCTAATTCCCACCTCCCAGATTTCCTGCGGCCACAGCCATCAGCACTTTCCCTAAAATAAAGTGGGAGCTGAGACAAGCCAGACAGCCGGGCTCCAGAGGGACTGTCCTGAGCGTGGATTGAGCTCACACTTCTTTAAGAGGGCGGCCAGGTTTGGGCCTTCACACCTCTCACAGCCCGGGAGGAACTGGGTGGATTTGCTGATAATTTGCTGCCAGTTTCCGCAGCAGGGGAAGGAACGTTGGGAATGGGGGGATGACGGGGAGCCCCACGGGAAGGGGGTGCAGACAGGGCATTTCCGTGCTCTCCCTCCCTTGGCAGCAGCCTGGGGCTCATGAGGAGGCAGGCACCGGGATGAGCAGCATCTCAGCTCCTGGCACTGCAGGGAAGTCGCAGTGTTGGACCTGCGGTGAGAGGGATGTTTTGCATTCCTTGTCCTTCATCCACACAGCAGGTTGAAGGAGGGAAATCTCCCCTTCTACTCTGCCCTTGTGAGAACCCACCTGCAGAGCTGCCTTCAGCTCTGGGGTCCCCAATATCAGAAGGATATGGAGCTGTTGGAGCAGGTCCAGAGGAGGCCACAGAGATGTTTGGAGGGCTGAAACCCCTCTGCTCTAGAGTCAGGCTGGGAGACCTGGGGGTGTTCACCTGAAGAGGAGGCTCCAGGGAGACCTGAGAGCCCCTTGCAGGGCCTAAAGGGGCTCCAGGAGAGTTGGAGAGGGACTTGGGACAAGGGGTGGAGAGACAGGACAAGGGGGAATGGCTTCCCACTGCCAGAGGGCAGGGTTAGATGGGATATTGGGAAGAAATTCTCCCCTGTGAGGATGGTGAGGCCCAGAGAAGCTGTGGCTGCCCCATCCCTGGAAGTGTCCAAGGCCAGGTTGGATGAGGCTTGAAGCAATGTGGGCTAGTGGAAGGTGTCCCTGCCCATGGCAGGAGGTGGAACGAGGTGAGCTTTAAGGTCCCTTCCAACTCAAACCATTCCATGATTCCATGATTCATCCCCCAGTTTAACCCAGTGCCGCCCCAGCTGTCCCCCAACACCCGTGCAGAGATACCCCATGAGAAAGGGGTCGGGGTGGCCCGTGGGGACACTCAGGGCCGGGGTTTGGGCTCAGAGCTGACGGAGCCCAGACTCTCCAGCCCCAGGTTCGGGGGGCACCGGGGGCCGCGTGGGCATCACCAACTCGGGCCGGGCCGGGCACTGCGTGTCCCCAGGACACCCCTGGCCGGGAGGGCACCGCCGGGTCCCGGCAGCACGTTTTCCTGCAAACTGCCCGGTTTTCCCGTCCTGCCGGCGGCCGGACACCCCGCGCCCGCCACCTAACGGCCACCGCCGGCGGACACCGGCACCGGCATCCGAGATCCGGCACCGGCATCCGGACACTGGCACCGGCATTGGCACCCACACCGGGATCCGGGAACCGGCACCGGGCACTGACACGGGGCACCGACACCGGGATCTGGACAGCGGCATTGGCACCAGTGCCGGGATCCGGACATTGGCACCGGAACGGGGCACGGGGCACTGACACAGGGATCCAGACACCGGCACCAGCACGGGGATCCAGACACTGGCACGAACACCGGCCCCGGGCACTGGCCCTGGTACTGGCAGGGGGTTCAATGCACCGACATCGGTACCGAGATCCGGGCTCCGAGTACGGGACACTGGCACCCGTCACCGGCACTGGGCATCGGGCCAGTCCCGTCCCTTGCACCCCGCGGCTGGAATGGCAACCCCCCCGAATTCCCTCCCTAGACACCCCCATCCCTTCACCCAACCGATCCCCACCTCCATCCCATCCCCCTCCGGCCGGTGTCACCGGGATGTGGGACCCCCAGGTGCCCCCTGGGATGCGACACTCACCCGTGACCCCAAACCCCCCGTGGCACCCATGCGGGTGGGCACAGCTCCCGTGCCCTCCCCCACCGCCTGCCTTGGCAGCTCCCCCCCCCCCCTTCCAGCGGTTTTGGCAGAGACGCGCCGGCTTGGAGAGAGCAGCGAGGAATTAAAAGAAAAAAAAAAAAAAGAAGGGAAAAAAAAGGGGAAAAGGGAAAAAAAACCCTCCCCGAGCAGCCAAGCCCAATCGGCGGGAGAGGCTCGTGTGTGTTTGGCCTTTCCTCATGACGTAGTGTCCTGTGCCTCTCTCCCCCCTCTCCCTCTCCTTTTCCCCTCCCTCCTTACTCCCCCTCCCCTTCCCCTCGCATCCTTGGAAGCAACAATTAAGCAGCTCTGGGATAAAACACACAGCCCGCGGGAGCACGGGGGCATTGCTTCAAGAGATGGCAAGGCAGGCAGCTGCACCCCTCCTTCCCGGAGTCCTCCTCCTCCTCTTCTCCATCCTCCCGGCTACTCAGCAAGGAGGTAAGGAACGAAAAGGCTCCTTCCCTTACCCCGGCCAGCGCTTCGCCCCGGTCCTCCGGGGACCCTCCGAGCCCCCCGGGCAGCTCCACGCCTGCCCCGGCTGCGTGGCCCCGAGGAGGGGCTGTCACCCACCCTGCCCTGCCTTGGGGACATTCTCGAGGGTGGGTGGGTGGGTGGGCAGCCTCCCTCGCTTGTCACGTCCGCGGAGGGCTCTTGGCTCCCCAAAGCGGCGGGTGGCTTGTGCCATTCCCGGGTGGGATGGGATGTCACCGAGGGTGGTGACACGGGGCAGTCCCAGAACGGCGCTGCTGCGCCAAACACTTGTCGGGGGGAGGCTCCGAAGTGCTGCGTCCTGGCGAGAGGCTTGGGGACACGAGAGGCTTGGGGACACGAGACTTAGGGATACGAGGCTTGGGAATATGAGAGGCTTGGAGACACGGGAAGCTCAGGAACATGCAGGCAGGGCAGCGCGGGGTGGTGGCCACCAGACTCCCACGGGGCTGGCAAGGGCGAGGCCGGGGGGAGCTGGCACCGGTCGCCCCCCGGTGCGGTGGCAGGGTGAGCTGGAGGGGCAGCGGGTGGCAGCATCCCGCGGCCGATGTGTGCGAGCTGCCACGCAGTGTGTGGCCGGGACAGCCCGCGGGGCTGGTGCAGCCGCGGAGCAGCTCGACCCACCCGAATCTCAGCCCGGGGGTGCCCGGGTGGCCCCCGCACCGCCCTCCCTGCGCTGGTGTCGCCAGCGCCGGGTCCAGCCACCAGCGGGACGCGGGTCCCAAGGGCTGTGTGACACCCCAGGGCTGTGTGACACCCCTCAGCCCACGCACAGGCGGGCGGGGCGGGGAGGTGACAGCCCTCGCAGCAGCTGACACAGCCGGGGCCAGCGCAGCAGGTGCCTGCCCGGGGCCGGCTCGTGTGCCGGGGTCGGGTGTGAGCTCCCACCGAGGCGGGGAGAGCAGCTGAGCACAGACTGAGAGCCCACTGACACGGCCGAACCGGGTGAGGTGGGGACAGCACCGCCGGGGTGCGACAGTCACCTCTGCAGAGTGCGGGGTGTGCCACGGAGAGTGTGTGACGGGCAGAGCCACCATCGGGAGTGGGGTCGGTGCCAGAGCTTCTCAGACAGAGAGGATTGAGGACCAGAGGAGGGGAGGGGCCAGGATCCCCTGGGAAGTGCCAGGGTTGTGCGGGCACCAAGGCATCCCGACTGCCTGTGCCCTGCAGCTCCCTGCTCTGCCCTGGTGTGGGGGGCTCCCAGGACCCCGTCCATGGGCTGTTCCCCCCTGGCTGTGCAGGCAGTGGGACCCCAGAGCTGGGCAGCTCCTGTAAAGCCGAGCTGCTGTTGGTCCTGGTCAAGGTGCTGGATGGGATGTGCCCAGTCCCGGGCACTCTCCATGTCCAGCAGTGATGCTCCGTGCTGCCTTGCTGAGCCGTGGTGGCTTTGGTCCCCAGCTCTCCGGTAATGTCCAACTGGGACATTCCCTGGAGGACTTTGGACCCCGGGGAGACCCTGCAGCAGTTCCTGAGCAGTTTGGGAACCTTGGCCCGACTCCAGGCCCCTGCTCAGTCTCCAGGGGTGTTTCCTGGTTTGGGAAGCAGCTCACTGAGGAGGTGGCCCTGGCTGGTAGGACCCTGGGGAATGCTCCCCCATGGAGGACTGGGCAGTGTCTCTGCAGCCTGGTGTGCTCAGCCAGCCCTTGGGGACAGAGGTGGGACAGAAGCACAGCCGGTGGCACGGTGTGGGGGATGCCAGGGTGCTGTGGGGGCACCTGGAGGGGGCTCAGAGCAGTGTCCTCCAGCACCTCTGCCAGTGCAGCTCCAAACCAGCCTGGCAGAAAAGGGACCCCTGAGACATCCCAGAATTGAGGAGGAGAAGGGAGGACCCTCCTTCACACACAGACTGTCCCCTCAGAGCAGTGCCAAGGGGCTGAGATGGCAGCACTCAGGAAGCCCCCAGCAATGGGTCAGGATCAGGCCCTGGGGGTCTGTCCCCTGGGGAGCAGAGCTGTGCTGGGCACCGTGGGCACCTGCAAGGTTGGGCACGAGTGGTGTGGGGAATCTGCTGTGCCTTCCCTTAAAGATGCCAAGTGCAGTGTATCCCAGTGTTTGGAGTGGGCACCCATTCCTCAGGACCTTCATCTGTCCCTCAGGGCTTCCATCCATTCCTCAAGGCCTCCATCCATTCCTCAGGGCCTCCATCCATTCCTCAGGGCTTCCATTTACCCCTCAGGGCTTCCATTTACCCCTCAGGGCCTCCATCTATTCCTCAGGGCTTCCATCCACCCCTCAGGGCTTCCCCTGCCAAGCACAGGGGATCCCCTGGCAGTGACACCCACAGGAGGGACAAGAGGGACCCCAGGGAGGTCCCAGCCCTGCAGGTTTTGGGATCACAGGAGGCAGCTCTGGGGGTGCAGAGAGGTGGGTGCTGGGTGTGCTGGCACTGTGGGGACCCTGTGAGGGCACCCGGAATCCTCAGGGACACCAGTAGTGCCAGTGGTGGGGCTGGGATGGCATCTCCCCTTCCCAGCTGGACACTGGCCTGCTGGGGCTGCTTCCTCCCAGCTCTGAGGGTGTAGCTCATCTGCCAGCGCTCGGAGATGAAAGCTGGAGCTTCAGGGGGGCTGGAGAGGAGCCAGGCTCCCGCCAGCAGCCCCCCTGCTCCCCCCGAGCTGCTCCCAGTGCGCTCGGGATGGGACACAACACAGCTTCAAAGTCGCTTGGAGACTGAATGTTTCCATAACTTTCTCCCAAGAAAAAGAAAACAGCGGAACGAGGGAAGAGGGGAAATGGTGGTGGTTACTCAGTGAGGCTCCTCCGGGAGCGGGTGCCCATGGGCACGGGGAGGGCGGCGAGGGACGAGGTTTGGCTGCCCGGTGAGGGTGTGAGCTCCTGTCCTGTGGTGGGTTCTCCAGCCTGGTCTCAGTCTCAAAAGCTGTGGAATAGAGAAATCATGTGGATTTCTGGCTTGTGAAGTGAGCTGCGAGCAGTGGGGCAGGTAGGAATGATGCAGCTGATCCCACCGGGATCGGAAGCAGCACCAGCAGCGGAACAGCGTGGGCACCACAAACAGTGACCTCTGGGATGGAACTGGGGGAGAAAAAGGCCACTTTCTATAAACAAGGAGGCTCCACACCAGATCCTGAGCACCTCCATGGGTCAAACCCCACCACAGCTGGGGTTGCACATGTGGGTGTGAATCCTCCTGCCTTGGGATGGAAAAGACATCCCTGGGGTGGGTGCTGGGATCCTGGGGGCCAGCACCATGCTCTGCAGGTTTACAGCCAGCCCAGCCCAGGAGACAAGCTGGGAGAATAGGAAACACCCCTTGGTGAGTCCTGGCAGGCTTGGGGCAGGGGTAGAGGCAGCCCAGAGCTCCTTCAGTGCTGGGAGGCTGGGGACTCAGTTTTCCCTTCCCCATGTGCCAAGGGAAGGGATGGAAAGGACAAAAGGGGGCATGCAGACCCGAAACTGGGCTGGGGGCTGCTGGCCCTGAGGCTGGGGAAGGACAGAGACCAGCCAGAGGGTGATGGCTGTTGTCACAGTGTAGCAGGGCTGTTGCCAACACTCGGTGCTGCCCACGGGAGGGACTGGTGGTGCTGGGGGGGATTTCTAAAACCAAATGGGTTACAGAGACCCCTCAGCAGTGCCTGCACCAGGGAACAGCCCCCCAGTTGGGCCATGGATGAGCAACTTGTAAAAGAGCTCCCAGAGAAGGGCAGAAGTGGCCATGTTTGGCAGCAGAGGGGTCAGGGAGGGCTCCTGAGTGGAAGGCTCAGCTCCCCAAAGGCATGCAGTGTCCCCCCCAGCCATCCTGGCTCTGCCAGGCCTTGCTGACCCCCTCCACCTCCTGATCTGGGCATAGAGATGGTTGATGAACTGGCACAGCCTCTGAAAGCTGTCGAGGCACTGGGATGAGCACCGTGCCTTGGGCCTGGGGTGGTGTCCGGGGGATGCCCGGGGAGGGGGCAGTGACAGTGTCCCCGCAGTGGGACCCTCCTGCCAGGATCTACCCAGAGGGTGACGACGATGAAGGGCTGAGCGTGGCACCTGTGGCTGTGGGTAAGTGCCATCTGGACCTTTCTGGGGTGCCCACGCACTTCAGGGGTGCTGGGAGCCATCCTGCCTTGTCCCAGCTCTCTGGGGGTGACCGGCACAGGGGGACAGAGGAGACCCCCCAGCACCACCCCAGCCCCAGGGACCTGGCCTGGCTGTGGGGGCTGAGGCTGGGGAGCATCAGGGGGGCTGAGCAGCCCCTCCGTGGTGGGGGACAGTCTCTGGCTGTGGGCATGGGGGTCCCTGGCAGGACCCTGGCCATCCCGCCGGCACTGGCTCCCAGGGGCAGTGGAGTGTCCCCTCCCAGCAGGGCGGGGCGGGGGGGGGAGCACAGGCGTTGCGCGGACGCTCTGAGTTTGTTTGGAAACAAGCGAGAAGTTGGGTTTTTGTTTATCCAAGCTGGGGGCGGGCGAAGGGGTGGGGAATGTGCCGGGAAAAGGAGCTGCTCCGTAACCCCCGGCCGGCTGCCAGGCCGGGCTGTGCCGTGCCAGAGCGGGGAGCCGGCGGCTGGAGCGATGGCTGAGCCCGTGTCCCCTCCATTCCAAGGGACATCAGCTGCTCCAGGGCCCTCGGCCCTGGCAAGACCTTGGGAGGGGGTATTAGTGGGCACAGGGTTGAGCCCCACCCTACGGAGAGCACGTGGGGGCTGTGTGACAGGTCCTGACACGGGAACCCCTCCTGCATGTGTGTCCCAACATCCCCTGTGCTTGCACAGCCTGACACCCCTATGTGTGTCCTGGCATCCCAGTGCATCCCAGTGCATCTCTGTGGTAGGACTGGGGTCTATCCCAGATGCCCGGGGTGGTGAGCCGGGCACGAGGAACACCCTCATCCCTGCCACTGGTGGGGCAGAGCAGGGGGCTGTGGGGTACAACGAGGGGGGACCCCCAGAGTTTGCCCCACATCTGAGCTGGAGATGTGCAGCATGATGTGCCCCCCACCGTGGTGTGCCAGCCCTGCCACCTGCCCGTCCCCCTCGGGCACTGGCTCCACCCTGCCCAGCCCCTCGGTGGGGTTGTCAGGGCTGTGTCACTCTGGGCACTCGGCTCCTGGGGGTGCTGGTTCTCCCCAGGCCTGGCCAGGCTGCAGGTCCCCAGGTCCCAGCCATGCCACCACAGGGTCCCCAGTGCCCACCACCCTGAACTCCAGCCCCTCTGCCCAGCGCAGGCAGGAGGTTTGGCTGCGGCTTGGCACAGCCGCCACACATGGTGCTGGCCATGGCAGCCACCCCCACTGCTCCTGGCAGTCCCCTGCCCTGCAAATCCCACTGCAGACCCCACAGCAACCCCTCCCCTGGTGCCAGAAGTGAAACATCCCCTGCTTTGCAGCCCCCTTGTGCCCCCAACCCACCTGCCATCCCCCAACCCACCCATGGCCCTGGTGGAGCTGGGGGCACCACTCAGAGGGTGGCTGCCTGGTGGTCTGCAGCAGACACACCTCTGCCAGAGTCTAAAGCAGCCGAAAACCTTGCTGTGACCTCTGAGCATGAGCTGAGATGCCCTGGAAGGTGATGGGACCTGGGGAGTGACCTCAGTGTCACACAGGCAGGCAGAGGGACACGGGGGGGTCTGATGGGTCTCAGCAAGGTCCCCCCAGTCTGTCACCCCGGTCCCACTGGCCTGAGCTGGCTCTTCCCACTGGCATCTCAGCAGGGCACGGGGCAGCCCCAGCCAGGGGGTTTGGTTGGGACCAGCATGGGCTGTAGGGCTGAACTGGGACAGCCTCACCCCTGCCATGCCTGGACCCGTCCCCTCAGAGCCATGAGAAGCTGGAGGTGATGGAAGTGGTGCTGGCTGTGGTACAGGATAGGATTTGGGAAGCAAAGCTGGACATCAGCCAGCCCCATGTCCCTCCTTCCCATGCAGGGCCAAGTCCTGCTGACGACTCTGCTGAGGTGCCACCCCTGGCTCCCAGCTGGGGCATCTCCCAGTGCTGTCACCACTGTCACACGGGGGAACTGAGGGGTGCAAGGAAAGGGACCTGCCCTCGAGCTCCACATCCCAACCCTCCCCAGGGAGCAGCACAGATCCCAGGAGGTGGCACACATATTCCTCCTTCCCTGCCTTGGACCCCTGTGGGGATTTTAACGAGGGTCTCTTCTCTTGCAGGGGTCCCTGGTGCTATCCCGGGAGTGGGAGTCCCAGGAGCAGGCTTTTTCCCAGGTAAAGGGGTCCAGGCAGCGCTGGGAGGGGCTTGCAGGGATGGGCAGGTGCCTGAGGGGGTCCCTGGATGCCTCTGAGACATCGTGGAAGGCTGAGAACCTGCCAGCTGGGATCAGGGCATGTATGGTCACCCTGTCTGCTGCTTAGCCCAGGGTGGCTGTCCCAGCACCAGCCCCACGGTGTGGGACAGGGCTGGGTGGCAGTGCCAGACTTACCCCAGGGCTGGCACCTACACCCTGCCCAGACTGGGAGCATCCCAGGGGGGATGCCCCACGCCCTTGCACCCTTGTGACCCTCCTGCCTCCCCATGGCCCCCCGGGAGGCTCGGAGGGGTGGATGGGTGCTGACGGGTGGGTGCTCAGGCTGTGCCGTTGCTCACAGGTGCTGGAGTTGGAGGTTTGGGAGCAGGTGAGTGCTGGGATGGGGAGGGGGGCAACACCCCTGGCAGAGCTGCCTTGGGGTGGGCAGGGGGTCTGCCACGAGGCTGGCCCCGTCCCACAGGGTGTCCCCCCCCGGGGGATGCCCGGAGGAAGGATGGCTCTGAGCCCTCTCCACTCACTCTCCCGTAGGACTCGGGGTTGGAGCAAAACCTGCCAAACCAGGTAAGAAGCCTTTCCATGGCTCTCTCCATCTCCTGCCATGCCAGTGGCCGGGATATTTCCCAACCCCTGTTGCCCTCATGTTTCTCCTACACGGCCAAGAGGTGCCCCTCAGTCCGGGCACCTCCATGGCCGAGACATACAGCATCCCTGCCCTGCCACAGCCTCCAGGAGCCTTCCTCCCTCACCCCCCGCTTCGATGCGCTGCCCCCCCCCTTCAGCCCCCCCGCCCACCCTCTGGGGGCGCTTGCTGCCTGCAGAGCTGTGCCAAAGCACCTGGGGGAGCTGCAGAGCCCGTGTCCCGTGGGAAGCTGGCAGCGCCTCCGCTCACCTGCCATCGTGGCTGAGCAGCTTTTGCTGGGGCTCCTGCAGCCGTGCTGGGGTTCGCCTGGCCTAGAAATGAGAGGGGTGAGGGGACATCACTGGGAGAGGGGTGAGATGCTGGCAGGAGGATGCATAGCCTGAGGGAAACAGGGGGGAGGTGCTGGGGCAGCAGGGACTGAATGTGCAGGGAGCAAATCTGATGCCAACAAGATCATGGAATTATACAATGGCCTGGGTTGGAAGGGACTGTAAAGATCATTTCGTTCCACCCCCTGCCATGGGCAGGGACACCTTCCATTAGTCCAGGTTGCTCCAAGCCCCATCCAACCTGGCCCTGGTCACTTCCAGGGCTGGGACAGCCACAGCTTCTCTGGGCAGCCTGTGCCAGGGCCTCCCCACCCCCTGATGTCTTTCTGACATCCAATCTAAATCTTTCCTCTTTTGGTTTAAAACCGTTCCCCCTTGTCCTACCGCTATCTGCCCAGTGCCTGTTGTCACCCACGGAGAGATTCTGCTTTAGGCAGGCACAGGGGTCTCCCCTCCCTGCCCACCCCGAGGGTACCCGCTGTGCCCGGGGCAGGGTCACCCCACCTCCCCGGCCCCCCGACCCGGCCCGTCTGCGCGGCGGGAGCGCCAGCCCGAGGCGGGGGCCGGCAACCTCCGTTTACTCAGATTTCAGCTCGTGGAAAGAAAAACAAGGCCCTTTATTTCGGCGTAATTAAAACCAAACGCGGGGCGGCCGCGAGGGCTCAGCCGGAGCGGTGTCCGCGCCCCGAGCCAGCGGCACTGGAATTTGCGCCTGGAGGGAGCGAGGGCTGATGAGCCCCAGATGTTGGAAGGCAGCGCTGGCCGGAGACCCAGGGGCTCATTCCTCAGCCATAAACATTTTGGTTCCGTCCCCTCGTGGCCCGGCGGGGTGGGGGGTGGCTGAGGCAAAAAGGGACGGGATGGAGGACCCGGCTGCTGCCGAGGGCGTTTGTCACCCGTCGCTGTGCCCGTCCCCCGGGTGTGCTCCCATCCCATGGCGATGGTGCAGCAGGGACTCCTCTGCTCCTCTGGGCTGCCCACTCGCTTTTCTTTCCAGGGGTCGCAGGACTTGGGGGACTCGGCCCACTTGGCCTGCAGCCAGGTGAGCACAGAGCACCAATGTCCCCAGAGACCTGCCCTGGGGACAGCATGTCCCTTGTCCCCATCTCTGTAGCTCTCCAAACCCTTCCTGGGTGTCCCTTCCCAGACCTGAGGGACTACAGCCACCAGCAGGCAGCCCTGTGGTCCCCCAACACCACGGCATCAACCACGGCGGGGTGACCCCAAAGGCGAGGAGCAATCTGGGGGCTGCAGCAGAGGGACAGTGCCTGCACGGGGTCAGCCAGCCCACCCAGGGCTGCAGGGGGATGTTTGCGATGGGTGGGATGCAGGTGGGAGCAGGAATTTGGGTGATGCAGGACAGGGCAGTGCCCGCTAACCACCGCCTCGCCCAGCCTAACGCCAGCCCCGGCACCGCCGTGCAGCCCCCGCGGCTCTGCACCCACCACGGAGCCCAGGACACCCTCCTGGCAGCTGCTTTTTGGGGATGCTCACGCCGGTGGTTCTCCCCACAGGTGCTGCAGGTCTCTTCCCAGGAGCTGCCTTCCCTGGGGGGGCCTTCCCAGGGGCCGCCGGGGCCGCGGCTCTCAAGGCTGCTGCGAAAGCTGGTGAGTGCCAGGGGGGCTGGGTAAGGCCACGGCCACACTGGGGCTCCTGCAGCCCCTGGGGACTCCTGGTGTCCCCTGGGAGTCTGGGTTAGGAAAGATTTCCCCCTGGAGCTGGGGGGCTGCAAGCAGCAGGTGCTGCTCCACTGGGATCCCCCACCAGTTTGGAGGGACCCAGGCACAGGGGAACCGGCCAAACCCGAGCCCTCAGGAGCAGAGGGCACCGAGCTGCCTGGTCCCCGTGCCCAGTACACCCTGGTACTGCCTCAAGGTGTCCCCTTCGCCCCCCCAAGAGCCATCCTGACCTTGTCCCTTCTTTGGCACTGTTCCGGCCACCCGCAGCCCAGCGGGTCCTGGTGGTCCTGGCGGCCTCGGGGTCTCCACAGGTAGGAAACACCCCTCGTCCCCAGCATAGCCAAGCCTGGGGCAGACCTGTCGCCGTGCCCGCCGGGGTGGGCAGGAGCCGGTGCCCGGGCTCAGGGGTCTCTGCTGCCTGCAGGTGCTGTGGTACCGGGCGCGGTGCAGCCCGGGGTTGGCGCGGCAGGGAAACCCCCTAAAATACCAGGTAGGTGCACGGCCCCAAAGCCAGGGGCCAGGGCTGGAAACCACTGCACTCGGGCCCTCATCCCTGGATTTCTCTTGCCTGGCAGGTGCTGGGATTCCTGGAGCTTTTCCGGGCGGCGTGCTCCCCGGAGCAGGTGAGTGGGGGGTCCCCATCCCACCAGCAGCACCCCAACCTCTGAGGGGGTGCCCACCCTGCCAGAAACACCTCAAACTCTGAGGGGGTCCCCATCCTGTCATCAGCACCCCAACCTCTGACGGGATTCCCATACCTCCAAGGGGATTCCCATCCTGCCAGCATCACCCCAACCTCCGAGGGGGTCCCCACCCTGTCAGCAGCACCCTGACCTCTGAGGGGATCCCTATCCCACCAGCAGCACCCCAACTTCTGAAAGGATTCCCAACCTCACCAGCAGCATCCCAACCTCCAAAAGGACCCTGTCACCAGCACCCCAAACTCCAAGGGGTCCCCCCTCCCAGTGCCAGCACCCCAAGTGGGCAGAGCACCCTGCCCTGCCCCTGCCTGCCTTCCTGTCTGCCCCGCGCTGCTCCCTGCAGCTTCCAAACCCTTCTGCTGAGGTCACGGTGACATTTCCACCGTGCCAACGGCAGGGGGGACCCGGCGTCTCCGGGGGTCTCGTGCCAAGCCCAGCGGGAGCAGGCGGCACCGGCACCGGGAGAGGAGCTGGCACGGCCACGGCAGGGCTGGCGTGGGAAGAAGGGGGAGGAGGTGGCGGGGAGAGAGGAATTCCTCAGCGCAGAGTAATTTGGGGGAGGAAAACTTGTGAAAACAAGATGTTTCGACACTGTCCGGAGAAGAAGTGTGTTGCTGGTCAGGAATGTCTTTTCCATGTCTGAAAACGCACGAGTTATAATGAAAGACATTTGTAAAGGGGGAAGAAAAAAAAAAACAACAAACCAAAACCAAACGAAAGAGAAACTCGAAACTCAAAAACCCAACCCAAACACTGCCAGGCCAAAACACTGTCTGTTGCCCTGGGAGGGTTGGGGTCCAGCAGGCAGGACCACCCCCTGCTCCCTGAGGAGTCCTGAGGCCACTGTGCATCTCCCAGGCAGAGAGCACTGCCTGGGCTTGGCTGGGCTTTGCTGTCACTAGTGGGACCCACTCCTGAGTGCCATGTTCCCTCCAGACTCCCCGATGTGCCCCCCAAGCCCCAGGCACATCCAGGGCTGCAGCAAACCCTTCCCTGGCAGCTGGGGGTGCAGGCAGGCTGGCACAGAGTGGTCCTGGCAAGCCCCTGAGGATGAGGGTGCCCTGTCCCACAGTTAGGTCTGAGCCAGAGGTGGGTGGCAAGGATTTGGGAGTGTGTGGTGTGGTGGTCTTGGATACCAGGAACATCATGATGCCCCAGCTCACCCTCGGCTCTCTGCTGCAGGCATTCGCTTCCCTGGCGTAGGGGTGCTGCCCGGAGTACCCACTGGAGCTGGAGTCAAGCCAAAAGCTCCAGGTAAGTCCCTCAATCCACTGGGAACACCAGGGTGGGTTCATGGCTGGCTCCAACTCTGCCCCCCCATCCCACTGGAGCTGGCCCCAGCCCATCCTTTGGGACCACAGCCCTCCAGGGCACACGGGTGAGCGAAGCCAACCTCCAGCTGAACCCACTCAGGCTGATTTGGGCCTCCAGTCCCAGCCCCAGGGTTCACACAGGTGTCCTTGTGTTTCGTTTTAGGAGTTGGGGCCTTTGGAGGAATCCCTGGTGAGTGTCCTGTCTCTCTTGCCTGTCCTTCTCTTCCTTCCCAAGCCTGTCCATCACAGCCATGGTCTTCCCACACCACAAGATACCTCAGGGCTTCCTAGGACACCCACTCTCCTCTCCCGGGGTGCCCTGGGGCACTCCCCTCTCCCAAGGACTGGTGGCGGTCGTGACGTGGGCTCCAGGTGAGAGTGTGCTGTTGGCTTTGCAGGACTGGGAGGTTTTGGAGGTCCACAGCCCGGTGTCCCTCTGGGGTATCCCATCAAAGCTCCTAAGCTCCCAGGTAAGCTGCTGCCACAGCCAACGGGGCTGCGGGTGGAGGATCCCCGGCAGTGTCAGGAGAAGGACCCGCCGTTCCCTGGGGCTGTGCCCACGGGTCCCCCGGACCTGGCAGTGCTGGTGCTGGCCCTGGGACAGCAGGACAGAGCTCAGGGCTCTGGGCAGATGGGCCCCTGTGCAGCCCTGCCTGTGGCTGCCCCATGGGCAGCTGCTGGGGTGATGCCTCTGCTCTTGCTCCTGGTCCATGTGGACGATGCTGTGCCTCTCTCCAGCTGTTGTAAGGTAGGAAAGGTCGTGTTCTGGGGATGTGCTTTGGGCCAGGCCACTCCGGGATGTCCCTGCCAGCTCCTCCTGGCAGGAGGCACAGCCCTTGCAGGGGCTGTCTGCTCACTGTGCCTCCTGGGGTTGTGCCAGGCATTCACCTGGGCCAGGCGTCCTGGCTCAAGGAGCTGTGCCAAGGAGCTCCAGGCAGGTCTCCCTCCCCACTGCCCACCCTGACGAGGCTCAGCCCGAGCCCAGGGAAGTCTGGTGGAGCTCGGCACCCTCTTCCCAGGCAGGGCTGATCCGGGGGCCTCCATCCCCCTGCCCTGTGCCAGCTCTGCCCATGGAGGGACAGTGGCACGTGCTATGCCCTCCGGGGGCCGTGCTGCCAGCTCCAAGTGCATCCCCGAGGAGGAGATCAGCCAGATCCGGGGAGGGACCCCCATCCCTGGGGTGCTGCTTTCCCCACTCACCAAGTTGCTGCAGGCAGGAGAGCCTGGGCGAGGGGAGCCCACCCTCGGGAAGAACATCCCACCCTCGGGAAGCACATCCCAGCCCGGCACGGGCGCCAGCCCCGGCAGCTCTGCCGGCTTCCCCCCGACGGGGCCCGTCACCACAGACGGCAGCGGGAATACTTGGCCCGCCCCGGTTTCCTCCGCCGAGCGCAGTCACGCTCGTTAGGGCCCCGCCGCCGGATCCCGTCTGGGCTCCCGGCCCCAAACCGCCTTTCATGGGGTGCCCGGTGCGCAGGACAAGCTGCCAGCTGTGCCTGGCTCTGTCCCACGGTGGCCCACAGCCCAGCTGACCCACCTCCGGGGGAGCCATCACCAAATATATCACGGGAGGACACCCACCCCATGGGCAGGGAGCCCCATGGGGCAGGACAGCGGGGCTGGCCCCAGCTGCGGTGTCACCCGGCACCCCGGACCTTCCTGGGGTGTTGGGGGTGCCGATTTTAGGGGTGTCCCTAGCTGTGGTTTCACCTGACACTCGGGTTGTTCCTGGGGTGTTGGGGGATGTCAGTTTGTCGCCTCTGAGGATTTGGGGCTGGCAGTGCAGGAACAGGCCAGGCTGGCTGTAGAGGCTCTTGTTTTGATGCTGCAAATGGATCCGGGGGCTGCCACACATGAGGGTGTCCCCTGCACTGTCCATTGCAGTAGGTCTGGGTTGACAGGGGATGAGGGGACAGAGCAAACTACATTGTCAGTGGGAAGTCACCTTTTCGGATGATTTGCTCCTGTGCTGTCCCTGCTCAGGAGGTGGCCCTGGGGTCACCCCCTCGCTGGGGGCTCAGCTGGAAGATGTGGTTGAGATCAGGGTCCCATTGATGCCATAGGGATCCCAGTGCTGTGAGTGACATAAGTCTGTGCAGAGCCCTTCCCGTGCCACCCACTGTGCCCATTGGCCTGAGCCCCCCTGGCAGTTCTGGTGACATCCCCGTGGGCACAGCTCCAGGGCAGGAGCTGCTCTCCCATCCAGCTCAGGGTGGGGAGGGGTTGGACTTGGACCCGGCAAAACCCTTGGAGATCCAAGGACCTGGACTCTTGGTCCTTGGAGTCACCTCCAGGAGTGTCACCCCAGTGCCAGACCCTTTCACAGCTTTGGGGAGAGCGAGCGAGGGATCCTCGATGTGGGGGACACCCGGCACAGCTCACGGCTGCCACAGCCTGCAAAAGCCTCTGCCTTCCAGCAGCACTGTGCTGGTGTGGGACACCACGGGACAGCCTGGCAGGGTGCAGGGAAATCTGGTCCCCACATGCTGGCTGTGGGAGGGGATGGCGTCCTGCTCTCAGGGAGATGTTGGGCCAGGAGCAATCCTGTCCTGCCCCCTCAGCAGGAGGGCTTGGGGTGTGAGACACCCTCCACCCTGCCTGGTGTTCCCATCAGGAATGTGGCAGCCCATCGCCTCCCCTCTGGCTGCTGCCAGCAGTGATGGGAGCCGGATGCTGCTCCCGAGGGCACAGTTCCCGATGAGTGTGGGGCATCCCTGCGTCGTTCAGAGGGCTGGGATCCGGCTCTTTCGCAAGGAGACGCCTCCCTGGCCATGATGTTCCCTCTCGTAATCCCTCCCTGTCCCTTCATGCCGACCTCCTAACGAGGTCACGTTTCAGTGGAGGCTCCCAAGTCCTGATTCCAATTAAAACCTTTCCTCTGGAGCTGGCTGTGGTGCAGCCAGCTGGGTACAGCTCTTGCCGCGGGGCTCCTGGGGGACCCCCCGCCGGAGCGGGGTCATGGGAGGCTCCCGCAAAACCAGCTTCAGGCGCCACAGCCCTCGGCACAGGGCTGGGAGTGGGCAGCTCTCCTTGGAGCCACTGCTTCCAAGGTGAGGGAGAACAGCATCTCCTGGCCTGGCTCCACCATGGAGATTTGTATCCTGGAGGATTTACTATCCCGATGCACAGCCGGCTGGCAGAGAGGGGCAGGAGCACAGCCACGGGCAGCCAGGTGCTAACCCCCCACCTTCTCTCCTCTCCAGGTGGCTATGGATTGCCCTACACCAATGGTAAGCTGCCCCACAGGGAGTGCCCGTAGCCCTCACCCCACGGTCGTAGCTCCTTGTGGCTCCACCGGCTGCCACCGCGACCCTCGGGGCGGCGTGAGGGGCATCCCTCTCCCAGGTGGTCCCCCGAGGACCTTGTGCCTTGCCCATGATGGCTGTGGGCCTGGCTGGGAGACACTCAACCCTCCCAGTACCCCATGCCATGGGGCTGGGAGCTGTTGATCCGTAGGACACATCCTGAGCCACCGCCAGCTCCAGGCAGGGATGTTTGAAGTGGCATCTCGGCTGCGGAGGAGCTGGCTCTGGGCATCCTTCTGTGCCAGGGGGAGGAGACCCTTTGGGCCAGGGAGCTGCTCCTTCCACCTCCGTCCTCGGGCCGGTGCCTGACGTGGCTGTGCCGTTGTGTTTGTGGTTGCAGGCCTCAGGCCCGGTGGGCCAGGAGCAGGCCTTGCAGGGAAGGCAGGGTATCCCACCGGGACAGGTACACTCCGACCCCGCAGCCCCAGGGTGTGGGACTGGCACAGGCAGGGCAGGGGGACTGGGCACCCTGTCCCTTTGGGGTGTTGGGCACTTCCCGGCTGTCTGGTGACCCCCAGGGAGAGCCTGGAGTGTGCATCACGTCCCAAAGGTGAAGGGGACAGATGCTGGCAGGAGTGCCCGGTCCCCAGGGTCCCTGTGGGGTGGGGGAGCCGAGGTGGGGACGGTCTCGGCACCTCAGTGGTTGCCCGTGTCCTTCCCAAGGAGTCGGAGCTCAGGCGGCCGCGGCAAAGGCAGCAGCGAAATACGGTGAGTGGCCCTGCACGGCACATCCACCACACGTGTCCCCAGCGGGGCAGCTGGGCCCTCCCTGCCAGGCTGGGGGCACGTTGGTCGTGTCCCTGCATCGCTGGACTGACCACCTTCTTCTCCCCTGTGGCAGGAGCCGGTGTCCTGCCCGGGGTTGGCGGCATCCCAGGAGTCGGCGGCTTGGTACCCGGTGTGCCAGGAGTTGGAGGTGAGGGGTGACAGGGCTCGGTCCTGGGGTTCAGGGGGGTCACCTCCCCTTGTCCCACCCCCCTGACTCTCTGATATCCCACAGTTGGAGGAGCAGCAGCAGCAGCGGCAGCAGCGAAGGCGGCGGCAAAGGCAGGAGCCCTTGGTGAGTTCCCGGTGCCTCGGACACATCTCAGGACATGGAGAAGCCTTGCACTGATATCAGGGCTGTGTGGCTCTACCACCTGCCCCAGCAGCCCCTGTCCCACCACCTGGGGTGCTCTCCCAGTTCTCTATCCTGGCTCCTGCAGCTTTTTGGGCGGTGATGCAGGCTGACTGGCCCCTCGTGATGCAGCAGCCTGGCACAGGGCACAGGGCAGTGCATCCCCCTCACAAGTGGTTTCTCCATAAGAGACAGGGTTTTGCTGTGCCAGGTGTCAGCAGGGTGTCGAGGAACATGGTGTCTATACTGAACTGTCATTCCTTAGTGGAGGGATGCTCCTGGTGATGCAAATCTCCCCCTCTCTGTTTCCTCCTTGGCTGTTTTGAGGGAGAAAAATGAGTAGCAAGCCACTCATTGGAGCATCCAGGGAAAACGTGCCAAACGTGGGCGCAGCTGGGATTTACAGCTCCAGCCCTGGGGGTCCTGGGTGGCCGGGTGGACTCCAGACTCCTGAACTGCGCGTAGGGAGCTGGGAATTGCAGTCCTGGGTGCACTTGGGTTCCCTGAGCAGCTGCTTTGTGAGGAGGGGGAGCCCAATACAAAGCCAGGTACCCTGGAGTCTCCTGTGACCCCGGGACAGCCCAGTGGCAGAGAGGGGTGTTTTGGGGGAGTTTGACTGCTCTGCTTCCTCCAGCTCCAGGGGCAGTGCCTGGAGTTGGTGGTGTTGGTGTCCCTGGCTTGGTCCCTGGCGTTGGAGCTGTTCCAGGACTGGTGCCCGGCGTTGGAGTCCCCGGGGTGGCAGGTGACTGTTCCCAGGAGCCCTGTCCCCACCCCCCGGCTCTGTGGGGCCTTGGTGGCTGAGGGTCCCTCTCTCCTTGTCCCCAGGGGTGCCGTCGGCAGCAGCAGCAGCAAAGGCAGCTAAATTCGGTACGTGCTGCGCGGAGCCCCCGCGGCCCCTGGGAGCCCTGAGCACCCTCTGCACCCGTCACACACAGGGTGTCCCCTGGGGATCACTCCTGAGGGAGGGTGGGATGTGCTTAGCCCAGCTCTCAGCTGCGCCATCCGGGCTTGGCTTCATCCCCAGGGTGGGACCTTCTCCCTCTCCAGGGTCTCTGGAGGCTGCTTCGTGGAAAGGAATGATGAGACCCAACTCACGTCTTTGCACTTGGTCTGAATTCTTGGGGTTTGCACCAAATCCAGTTTTCCAGCAGCAGACACAGGATCTGGTGCCCAAGGGCTCAGCCTCACTGCCAGGGTGGGCAGAGATCCCTGGCAGAGGGACCCCTGCCCAGGGTCACCCAGTGCCTTCCAAAGACCTGGTGGCATCCAGCAAGTGCATCCCACTGGGTCTTGCCCAGCAGGCATAACCACCCCATGGAGTTCCAGTGGGGATGAAGGACATGGCCAAGTGGGAGGGAGGCCGGGAGCTCAGGCACAGGGAGGAGGCAGAATTGGCCCTGAGGCTCCACACGGGGCTGGGGGTCCGTGTGCTGCTCCAAAAGGCAGAGCCAATGGTTACCTGGACAGGTCCCAGGACCTCCATCATTGTTGTGGGAATGCCCAGGAGGAGTCATGCTTGATGGCAGCTCTCCTTTGAGGGTTAAACCATTGATACCCATTTCTTCCGTTTTTCCTCCACATCTTCTGGAAAAAAAAAAAAATCCCACCACATGCCCAGGTCAGGAGGGGATTCAGGGAGAAACTTGGCAATGGGTGCTCTGCACTGGGGTGCCAGGGCCCTGCCGAGCAGGGGACCATGAGGACAACCCCTCAGCCCTTCCAGAGGGGATCTGATGCTTGTCCCTGTGGCCGCTGGGTCACGGCTGTCCGTGCCCTGGGCAGGTCCCCAGTCTGACCAGTGCCTGGGTACTCAGCTCTTCCACAGAGCTCCTGGGGACCACCAGCCAATTCTCCTCCGTGGCCTGTTTGGCTGCAAGGCTTGATGTCCCCATGAGGAGGACCACCTTGAGCCTCCTGTGATGATGAGGATCATTGTGGTCCTCTGTTGTGGTGACTTCCCAGGGATTGCTGGAAGAGTCAGGGGACCAATCCCTCCCTGGCACTGCTGTGCTCTCCTGGACAAGGCCGTGGGATGCTCTGCTCATCATGGCAGGGGGATGAGAGCAGAGCCATGACAAGGTCCCACGTTTCAACTGCCACTACAATGAGCTCTGACTGCTCCCCTCTTGTTCCCTGCAGGAGCTGGTGTTCCTGGTGTTGGTGTTCCCGGTGTTGGTGTTCCCGGTGTTGGTGTTCCCGGTGTTGGTGTTCCTGGTGTTGGGGTCGGTGCTGTCCCAGGCGTCGTGCCCGGAGTTGGTGTCCCCGGATTGGTGCCCGGTGTCGGAGCTGTCCCCGGGGTGGCAGGTGACTGTTCCCAGGAGCCCTGTCCCCACCCCCTGGCTCTGCAGGGCCCTGGTGGCTGAGGGTCCCTCTCTCCTTGTCCCCAGGGGTGCCGTCAGCAGCAGCAGCAGCAAAGGCAGCTAAGATTGGTACGTACGAAGGAACAGGGAGACCCAACTCACGTCTTTGCACTTGGTCTGAATTCTTGGGGTTTGTACCGAAGTTGCTTTCCAGCAGCAGATCAGGTGCCCAAGGGCTCAGCCTCACTGCCAGGGTGGGCAGAGATCCCTGGCAGAGGGACCCCTGCCCAGGGTCACCCAGTGCCTTCCAACAACCTGGTGGCATCCAGCAAGTGCATCCCACTGGGTCTTGCCCAGCAGGCATAACCACCCCATGGAGTTCCAGTGGGGATGAAGGACATGGCCAAGTGGGAGGGAGGCCGGGAGCTCAGGCACAGGGAGGAGGCAGAATTGGCCCTGAGGCTCCACACGGGGCTGGGGGTCCGTGTGCTGCTCCAAAAGGCAGAGCCAATGGTTACCTGGACAGGTCCCAGGACCTTCTTCTCCATCGTCACTGCTGATCCCTGGGAATCTTCAAGTGGAGCCATGCTTGATGGCAGCTCTCCTTTGAGGACTAAACCACTGATGCTCATTTCTTCCATTTCTCCTACATATTTTGTAGTAAAAATGTCCCACCAAATACTCAGGGAAGGATGGGATTCAGAGTGTCCAGAGTGTGCAGAGTGTGCTCCGTGCTGTGGTGCCCCTGCCCATGAGGGCACCTCTCACAATGAGTCCTTCTAGAAGTGACCTGATGCTTGTCCCTGTGGTCAGGGCTCTCAGTGCCCTGGGCAGTTCCTCAGTCTGACCAGTGGATGCTCTGCTCGTTATGGCAGGGGGATGAGAGCAGAGCCAAGACAAGGTCCCACCTTTCAGCTGCTGCTGCAATGAGCTCTGACTGCTCCCCTCTTGTTCCCTGCAGGAGCTGGTGTTCCTGGTGTTGGTGTTCCTGGTGTTGGCGTTCCCGGTGTTGGGGTCGGTGCTGTCCCAGGCGTCGTGCCCGGAGTTGGTGTCCCCGGTTTGGTGCCCGGTGTCGGAGCTGTCCCCGGGGTGGCAGGTGACTGTTCCCAGGAGCCCTGTCCCCACCCCCCGGCTCTGTGGGGCCCTGGTGGCTGAGGGTCCCTCTCTCCTTGTCCCCAGGGGTGCCGTCGGCAGCAGCAGCAGCAAAGGCAGCTAAGATTGGTACGTACGAGGGAACAGGGAGACCCAACTCACGTCTTTGCACTTGGTCTGAATTCTTGGGCTTTGTACCAAAGTTGCTTTCCAGCAGCAGACCTGGCACCAGATCAGGTGCCCAAGGGCTCAGCCTCACTGCCAGGGTGGGCAGAGATCCCTGGCAGAGGGACCCCTGCCCAGGGTCACCCACCACCTTCCAAAAATGTGATGGGATTCAGGAAGTGCATCCAACTGGGTCTTACAAGACAGAGGACCCATCCCTCCCTGGCCCCACTGTTTTCTCTCCTGGACGAGGCCGTGGGATGCTCTGCTCACCACAGGACGATGACAAGAGCAGAGCCATGACAAGGTCCCACGTTTCAACTGCCACTACAATGAGCTCTGACTGCTCCCCTCTTGTTCCCTGTAGGAGCTGGTGTTCCTGGTGTTGGTGTTCCTGGCGTTGGCGTTCCCGGTGTTGGGGTCGGTGCTGTCCCAGGCGTTGTGCCCGGAGTTGGTGTCCCCGGATTGGTGCCCGGTGTCGGAGCTGTCCCCGGGGTGGCAGGTGACTGTTCCCAGGAGCCCTGTCCCAGCCCTGTCCGGCTCTGTGGGGCCTTGGTGGCTGAGGGTCCCTCTCTCCTTGTCCCCAGGGGTGCCGTCGGCAGCAGCAGCAGCAAAGGCAGCTAAATTCGGTACGTGCTGCGCGGAGCCCCCGCGGCCCCCGGGAGCCCTGAGCACCCTCTGCACCCGTCACACACAGGGTGTCCCCTGGGGATCACTCCTGAGGGAGGGTGGGATGTGCTTAGCCCAGCTCTCAGCTGCGCCATCCAGGCTTGGCTTCATCCTGGGGACATGACCTTCTACCCCTTCAGGAGGGTCTCTGGAAGCTGCTTCATGGAAAGGAACCATGAGACCCCAACTCATGTCTTTGGACTTGATCTGAAATCATGAGTTTTGTAACAATTCCATTTTCCCAGCACCAGACACAGAATCCTGACACAGGATCTGGTGTCCAAGGGCTGAGCCTGGCTGCTGTTTGGGTAGAGATCCCTGGACCTTTCAACTGTTGCTGCAATGAGCTCTGACTGCTCCTCTCTTGTTCCCTGCAGGAGCTGGTGTTCCCGGTGTTGGCGTTCCCGGCGTTGGCGTTCCGGGTGTTGGGGTTGGCGGCGTCCCAGGCCTTGTGCCTGGAGTTGGTGTCCCTGGCTTGGTGCCCGGTGTCCCCGGGGTGGCAGGTGACTGTTCCCAGGAGCCCTGTCCCCACCACCCAGCTCTGTGGGGCCCTGGTGGCTGAGGGTCCCTCTCTCCTTGTCCCCAGGGGTGCCGTCGGCAGCAGCAGCAGCAAAGGCAGCTAAGATTGGTACGTACGAGGGAACAGGGAGACCCAACTCACGTCTTTGCACTTGGTCTGAATTCTTGGGGTTTGTACCAAAGGTGCTTTCCAGCAGCTACCTTGAAAGACAATCTGGTGCCCAAGGGCTCAGCCTCACTGCCAGGGTGGGCAGAGATCCCTGTCAGAAGGACTCCTGCCCAGGGTCATCTGCCATGTTCCAAAACCCTGGTGGAATCCAGCAAGTGCATCCAACTGGGTCTAGCAAGACAGGGGACCAATCCCTCCCTGGCACTGTTGTGGTCTGCCCTGGACGAGGCCGTGGGATGCTCTGCTCACCACGGCAGGGGGATGAGAGCAGAGCCATGACAAGGTCCCACCTTTCACCTGTTGCTACAATGACTGCTCCCCTCTTGTTCCCTGCAGGAGCTGGTGTTCCCGGTGTTGGTGTTCCCGGTGTTGGCGTTCCCGGTGTTGGGGTCGGTGCTGTCCCAGGCGTCGTGCCCGGAGTTGGTGTCCCCGGTTTGGTGCCCGGTGTCGGAGCTGTCCCCGGGGTGGCAGGTGACTGTTCCCAGGAGCCCTGTCCCCACCCCCCGGCTCTGTGGGGCCCTGGTGGCTGAGGGTCCCTCTCTCCTTGTCCCCAGGGGTGCCGTCGGCAGCAGCAGCAGCAAAGGCAGCTAAGATTGGTACGTACGAAGGAACAGGGAGACCCAGCTCACGTCTTTGCACTTGATCTTGGGTTTTGCTCCAAAGTTGTTTTCTGGCAACAGACCTGACACAGGATCTGGTGCCCAAGGGCTCAGCCTTGCTGTTATTTGGGCAGAGATCTCTGGCAGGGGGACCTCTGCCCAGGGTTACCCACCACCTTCCAAAAACCTGGTGGGAATCACCAAGTGCATCCCACTGGGTCTAGTAAGGCAGGAAACTGATCCTTCCCTTGCACCGCTTGGTCTGTTCTGGACAAGGCCATGGGATGTTCTGTTCACCACAGGACGATGACAAGAGCAGAGCCATGAAGAGGTCTCACCTTTTCAGCTGTTGCTGCAACAAGATCTAACTTCTCCCCCCTTGTTGCCTGCAGGAGCTGGCGTTCCTGGCATCGCTGGCGTTCCCGGCGTTCCTGGAGTCCCTGGTGTTCCTGGTGTTCCTGGTGTCCCAGGCGTGCCCGTCGTGCCTGGAGTTCCTGGCGTGGTGCCTGGTGTCGGAGGTGAGCCGCTGGGCTGTCCCCAGCCGGTGGGGTGCCGCTGGCATTGCCTGTCCCCTCACTGTCCCTCGTGTCCCCGCAGTGGGTGGCCCGGCAGCCGCAGCGGCCGCGGCGAAGGCGGCAGCGAAAGCCGCAGCAATCGGTGAGTCCCCACCAACCCTTCCCGGGGGGGCAGGAGGGATGTTTGCTCGTGGGTGAAGTGGAAGGCACTCTGGTGCTCTGGATGGTGGGGAGGTCAGTGGGACTCCTGCTGCGGAGCCTGCCTGCTCGGCCACATCCCGGGACCTTTCTGCGGGAGCAGGACGCGTTCCCGGTGTCGGTGTTCCCGGTGTCGGTGTTCCCGGTGTCGGCGTTCCCGGTGTCGGCGTTCCTGGAGTCGGTGTGCCCGGAGTTGGTGTTCCTGGTGTGGGCGTGCCCGGTCTGGTGCCTGGGGTTGGCATTCCAGGTGAGGTGGTGCCCGTGGGACACTCGGGTGTCCCCAGCGGTGCTGGCTGAGGGTGCCGGTGTGGCCACCGCGGCCCCATTGCTGCCCCTCTCCTCCCCTCTCCCCCAGGAGTTGGTCCTGCAGCCGCCAAAGCAGCCGCCAAAGCAGCCAAGTTTGGTAAGCCGGGATCTCTCTGGGGTTGTCCCACCTGTCCTGTCTCCTGCTGCCCCCCACCCTGGCTGGGGCAGAGGTCCAGCCCTGTGGGTCGTGGTGAGGGATGAGTTCTCCCCAGGGCTCTGGTTGGGATGAGGTTCTGGCTGAGTCAGGGCTGCTCTCCAGAGAGCTGGTCTGGATGGAGGGTCCAAAGTTCACCATCCAAACACCTCATACATCAGTCCATCCACAATGTCTTCTACCCACCACCACCCTCCTCAGTATCCATCTGTTCCCTTCCCTGTACATCCATCCACAGCTCCAACCATCCACCCAGCTCACCATCCATTCAACCACTCCACATCCATCCATCTCAACCATCCATCCAGTCATCAATCTCACTATCCATCCAGCAAGCTCACTATCCATTCAGCCACTCACCATCCATCCATCCATCCATGCATCCATCTCAGCATCCATCCATCCATCTACATATCCATTTCACTATCAATCCATTCATCCATCCATCCTCTAACTGCCCACCCCAGCCTGCCATGCCTTCTCAGCCCGCTCCTCCCACCCCTTCTCTCCCTGAGCCGAAGCCCCAATCCCCCAATTCCCTCTCTCCTTGCAGGAGCAGTTCCCGGTGTAGGTGGCCTTGTTCCTGGTGTAGGTGGCCTTGTTCCTGGTGTGGGTGGCCTGGTCCCTGGTGTTGGAGGCGTCCCAGGTGAGGAGGAGGGAGGCGGTTGCTGGTGGCAGCCTGGCTGGTGCAGGGACAGTCCTGGTGCAGGACAGGCTTGAGGAGAACCTCGGTGGTCTCCATCAACTCATGGTTCCCCCTGGGGGGTTGCAGACAAGGCTCTGCCCAGGTTTGCTGAGGGGACCCTCCGGGGGTGCTGAGACCCTCCTGCTGTCTCCACGCAGGGGTTGGAGTTCCGGGCGCAGCAGCGAAAGCAGCAGCAAAGGCAGCGAAATTCGGTGAGTCGGCCAGAGAAACCCATCACTCACAGCCGGGGGCACCTGCACGGGCACAGACTGGGGCAGGGGACGCTGGGGAGCGGTGGGGGTGGGCACCCTGTGCCAGGCACATCACCCCATGCAAGAATGGGGATCACGCAGGGATCACCCCATGCTGCCTCACCCTCTCTCCGCAGGAGCCGGGGTCGGAGGGGTGCCCGGTGTTGGTGTGCCCGGTGTTGGTGTGCCCGGTGTTGGTGTGCCCGGCGCGGTGCCCGGTGTTGGCGTGCCCGGGTTGGTGCCAGGTGTGGGAGTACCTGGAGCTGGTGTCCTCCCCGGGGCAGGTAGGTGCTTTGTCACACCCTGCCTGGGGCCCTGCTTGGGGACAGCGGTGGCTGGGAACGCTGAAAGCCACCGAGCCAGGCAGAGGGGTGGCAGAGGGGGATGCAGGCAGGATGGGGGATGGTGGCACGTGGGAGGGGGTGCAGGGGTGACCATCCTAACTGTGGTGTCCTCCTTCACTTGGCAGGCATCCCCCAAGTAGGTGCTAAACCTCCCAAATTCGGTAAGTATCTCTGCCACCCTGCCCTGGGACCATCTCAGACTGTCCCCAGGCACCCTCCTCATGTGGCCATCGGGGTGCTGACTTTGTGTCCCCTGCATGTCCCCTTGTGCCCTGGTGGCCCAGGCGTGGGAGGTGGTGTGCTGTCACCCATGAGTGCAAAGTGCCACCTGTCCCCCCATCTTAGGCACACTGGGGACGTTTTTCTCCTGTGTGTGTCACGGGTGCTGGGGACACCCAGGATGGGTGCCAGGGCCACCTGGCTGGGAGTGCTCTGAGCTGGGGGTGCCGGGTTGCAGGGGGACAGGCATTAATGTTCCCTTTCTGGCAGGTGTGCCCGGAGTTGGAGTGCCAGGAGTTGGTGGCCTCCCAGGTAAGTGCTGGCAGAGGCCAAGCCTAAGCAGTGGGGATGCTCCCCCAGAGAGATGCTCCCCCAGAGGGATGTGGGCAGCAGGATGCTTTCCCAGAGGGATGCAGGTGGAGGGATGCTTCCCCAGATGGATATGGACAGAGGGACGCTCCCCCTGGCCATGGAGGGAGTGGGGCTGCCCAAGAAAGGATGGGCACACTTGGGGCTGGACAAGGAGTGGATCAGACACTGCCTGTCCTCACTGATGCTCCCCCATCATAGGTGGCCTTGGAGTTGGTGGCCTCGGAGTCCCTGGGCTTGGTGTTGGTGAGTGATGCTGGCCCTGGCACTGGGGCTCCCAGGGCTGGGCTGCAGGGAGTGGCAGCTGTGTGCCAGCAGAGTGCCCAAAAGGAAAGGGGTCTATGGGATGAAGGAGATGCAGGGTCACTTTTGTCCCACCCCACACTGTCACCCTGTGCCCTATCCTGTGCCTGCCACCTGCCCTGCTCCCAGGGTGTGATCCAAAGGGAATGCCACTGCTGAGCAGGGACTGAGGGCCATAACACTGGTGTTGCCTGTGTCATGGGAACAGGGGATGGTCCCATACCACGTCCCCCACATGTGGAGCTGCAGGTCCCTCCTGGGGACCCTCTGGGCCTGTAGAAGGGTCTGGCTGCAGCCCTGGGGGCAGCGAAGTTGGGGCGTGGGCTGTGCTGCTGCCCCTCTCTGACACAGGACTCTTATATCCAGGAGCTGCTGGGAAACCTCCCAAGGCGGGTAAGGAGCAGCCAGAGGGGCTGCAGGGGTGACTCCAGTCCCTGTCCCCACCCTGTCCCCATCCCATGCTCCCCACCCTCACTGGGGCTCTCCCATTGCAGGTTTTGGTGCTGGTCTAGGTGAGTGCTGTGGTTTGGGGCTGGGGTGGGAGCATGTCCCCCACCACACCACACTTGTCCCCACTTGCTGTCCTCACCCTGCTGCCACTCCCTGCTGAGCACCGGGAAGCCACATGGGTGCCATAACAGGGACAGGGACAGGGACAGGGACTGAGCAAGTAAACCCAGCCAGGGTGTCCCCAGCCCAGGCTGGGGTGGCACTGCTGTCACTGGCTGTCACTGGCTGTCGCTTTTTCCCCAGGGGTTGGAGTTCCCGGCTTCGGCGTGTCACCGATATTTCCAGGTACCACCCCCAGCACACACCCCGGGCACATCCCGGTGCCTGCCCGGCTCCCGGGGATATGCAAAGCCCACGGAGCACAGGGCCACGGCCACGGCCTGGGGAGGGACCCCGGGGGCTCTGCTGAGCCGGGGGGGCTCAACTGGGGGGTGCAGGGCAGAGCGATGTGGGTGCCCGGTGGGTGCTGAGGGCTTCGCTCTCCTTCCAGGTGGGGTCGGCGCCCCGCTGGGATTTGCTGGTGAGTGTCCATCCCCCCCGCGCGGGGCGTTTTTGGGGTGGGGGGTGCGCATCCCCCCTGCACCCCGCAGCCGCGGGGGGTCCCGCTGACCCAGCTCCCCCTTCCCCCTGCAGGGAAGCCCCCCAAGGCCTACGGAGGAGCCCTCGGTGCCCTGGGCTTTAGAGGTGAGCGCTGGTGTTGGGACCGGCTCCTGCACCCCTTGCCCTTCTCCCACACCCCCCAGGGGTCTGGGGGTGCAGGGGGGGCTCACCCCGTGCATCCCTCCCCCCCCATGGCAGGCGGCGTGGGCTGCGCAGCAGGGAAGTACTGCGGGAGGAGGCGGAAGTAACCGCGGCCGTCACCGCTGACCTCATGAACTTTGGTGCTACTGCATGGTCCAGAATGTAAATCCCGAGCAAAGCTGAGACGCCCCCCCCCCTTCCCCAAAAACCCCCCGTCCATCCCGGGGCCATCCCCGGCCCCGCGTTCCCAGGAGGGATCCCGCACCTCCGGCAGCATCCGTCGCCCCCCAGCCCCTCGGTCCCGGCAGGGAGCGCGGAATAAACTGCGGGGAGCAGCCGTCCCCCTTGGTGCTATCGCTCTCTGCGGGATTTTGGGGGGGGCTCGGGGTGTCGCACCCCTCCCCAGCCCCAGAGCTGACCCCCTCGGGGGGGGGGGGGCAGGATGAGGGGGACCCCACATTGGAGGAAGGGAGGGAAGGGGATGCCGGCGGCGGGGGCTGCACGGGGAGGGATGGCCCCGTCGGTCCCCGCGATCCCCCCGGTCTGGGGGGGGCCGCGGGCAGGAGGGGCTCGGTCCCTTCGTGTTGCTCACTTTGCTATAACTGGGTGGGACGCCCTTATACAGAGGGACTCGCTTCTGACAGACTAATAAAGGACAAGTTTTTAAAGGATTCTGGCTCTGTCCTGTGTCTGTGTCCCCCTCCCCGGAGGGGAGGCAATGGTGGTGGCAATGATGGAGGAATCCAGCCCATGTCACTGCCCCCGGTCTTGTGCCCATGGCTCTGCACAAGCCTGGGGACACACTGGGTCCTTGGCATGGCATTGTGCTGTCACAGCTCTGGGCCACAAGGTGAGGGGACAGCCTGGGCACCCCGGGGCTGCCCCTGCCCTGTCCCACAGTGCCAGCCCCAGGGATGGTTGGGGTGGCCATGGCCTATCCCACAGAGATAGGTCCCCCAGGAACCCAGGGGGAGGTCCATGCCCTATCCTGGGGGTGAGGGGAACACCTATGCCTTGTCTTAGGGCAGTGGCCTGGGGGACAAGGAGGATGCTCAGGGAACTCAGAAGGACTCAGGATGTCTGGGAACTCAGGAGGAGGCCCCTGCCTTCCCTAGGATCACAGCCTGAGGGCCAAAGGGGATGGCCATGGTGCCAGCCCAGAGCATGGCAAATACACCCAGGCACTATCCCAGGGTGACAGTACATGGAATAAAAGGGGCATCCACGTCTTGCCCGGCGGTGCCAACCCACGGACACAGCATGAGCTCTGTGCCCTGCCCCATGGTGGTGGCCTGGGGGCACAGGGGGACGTCCATGCCCTGTTCCATGGTGACAACACAGTGAATGAGAGGGACACCTGTGTCACACCCCACACTGACAGCCCAGGGTAGATGGGGACACCCGTGCCCTGATCACAGTGACAGCTGGGGTGTGTGGGGACACCTGTACTGATCAGGGATGGGTGGGGGGAACACCTTTACCCTGTCCCAGGGTAACTGGGGACACCATGGCAGGTGGGGACACCTATGCCTTGCCCAGGGGGGTGGCCTGGGGTAGTTGGGGGCACTCATGATGGCCAGGGATGGGTGAGGACACCCGTGCCCTGCCCATGGAGCTGGCTGGGGGTAGTCGGGGACACCATGGCATATGGGGACACCTCTGATGGCCAGGGGTGGGTGGGGACACCTGTATCCTGGCTGGAGATAGTTGGGGGCACCACAGCGGGTTGGGACACCCATGATGGCCAGGGGTGGGTGGGGGGACACCCATACCCTGCCCACGGGACTGGCCCGGGGTATTTGGGGACACCCGTGCCGGCCAGGGATGGGTGGACCAGGGTAGTTGGGGACACTACGGCGGGTGAGGACATCCATGACGGCCAGCGGTGGGTGGGGACACCCGTGCCCTGCCCACAGTGACAGCCCGCAGGTCCCGGAGGCCCCGGACACCCCCTGCTCCCAACCCGCACCCGCGAGCCCCGCCCACACTCCTGACCACGCCCGTCCAACCTGACCACGCCCCAATCTCGACCACGCCCCCTCCGACCACTCCCAACCCACGCCCCGGGCCCGGCCCGGCCCGCGTCCCTCAGGCCCCGCCCATTGCCCCCCGTGGCCACGCCCCCCGCGCCCAGGCCCCGCCCCTCTCGGCCGCGCCGGCGCGGTGCTCCCGCCGCGGTCCCGCCCGCGGAGCCGCAGCAGGGCCGGGGGGGCCCGACCGGGACAGGGGGACACGGGCAGGGACAGAGGGACAGGGGCGCGGGAGCGGCAGGGCCCGGCGCGGCGCCGGGCAGCGCGGCTGCATGAGGTTGATGCTGCTGTGCTGCACCTGGAGGGACGAGCCTATGGGAGAGGACGAAGGTGCGTGACCCCCCGAGCCCCCCTCCCATCCCCGCCTGACTCAGCGCTTCCGCCGCCGCTGGGGCACCGAGACCCCCCCCAACCCGGCTCCACAGCGCCCGCCGGCCGGCCTGCGGACCCCCCGCGTCCGCCCCGCATCCGCCCCGCATCCCCTCTGCATCCCCCCGCATCCCTCCCGCATCCCTACATCCTCCTCTGCAACCCCCATCCTGCGCCTTTACATCCCCCCCTGCATCCTCCACATGTCCCCCGCGGTCCCCGACCGGCCAGCATCCCCCTTACATCCCCAAAACTCCCCTTACACCCCCTGCTCACCCTGTATCTCCCTCCTGCACTCCCCATCCAGCCCGCATCACCCCCTGCATCCCCCCTGCATCCCTCTTCTGGCCTGCATCCTCTTGCACCCCCATATCCCCCCTGCACCCACCATCCAGCCTGCATCCCCCCAGCATCCCTACATCCTCCTCTGAGACCCCCATCCTGCTCCCTGACATCCCCCCTGTAACCCCCACATGTCCTCTGCCCTCCCCAGCCACTCTGCGTCCCCCCTGCACCCATGAATCATCCCCTGCACCCCTCATCCAGTCCACATCACCCCCTGCATCCTCCCCTGCATCTCTTTTCTAGTCGGGATCCCCCTTGCACCCCTGTATCCCCCCTGCACCTTCTGTTCAGGCTGCATCCCCTCTGCACTCCCAAATCTCCCCCTATACCCATTGTCCAGCAGTTTCCCCCTGTGTACCCTTCTCCAGCCTGGATCCCATCCTCGTGAACCCCCACATCTCCCTCTGCACCCCTGTACAGCCTGCAGCCCCTCCTGCACCCCCTACATCCCCTTTCCTGCACCCCACATCTCCCCCTGCACACCCCTGTGCCCCTACTGCACCCCCAAAACCCTGCATCCCCACATCCCCTCCAGCCTGCATCCCTGCCTGCACCCCACAAACCCCCTGCATCCCTCCCTGCATCCCACATCCCTCCTGCACCCTACAAACCCTCTGCATCCCTCCCTGTACCTGCACATCCCTGCCTGCACCCCACAAACCTACTGCATCCCACATCCCTCCTGCACGCCACAAACCCTTTGCATCCCTCCCTTGCTCTGCCTTCCTTCCACTCTGCACCCCAGGGCCCCCTCATGTCTCCCCACACCCCCCAAGAACTTGCACCCCCAGGACCTCTGCAGTCACTCTGCACCCCTCTGTGTCCCTCCCCGCACCTCCACATCCCCCCAGGGACCCCCTGTGCGCCCCTGCACCCTTTATCCATCCTCCAGTCCCCCACCCTGCACATCTCCGTGTCCCCCCATGCACCCTGCACCCCTTAGCACCCACCCTGCACCCCCTGTGTCCCCCCATTCATCCCCCAGCACCCACTTTGCACCCCCTGTGTCCCCCCATTCATCCCCCAGCACCCACTTTGCACCCGCTGTGTCCCCCCATTCATCCCCCAGCAACCACCCTGCACCCCCTGTGTCCCCCCATTCATCCCCCAGCACCCACTTTGCATTCCTTGTGTCCCCCCATTCATCCCCTGCTATACCTTGAACCCCCCCATCCTCCCTGTCCCCCTCTCTGCACCTATCCTGCACCCCTTCACCCCCCCTACACTCTCTGCACCCATCCTGCCCCCTGTACCCCTCTCTGCACCCCCCCTACATTCCTTCAGCCCCCTGTACCCACCCTGCACCCTCTGCCCTGTCCTGCTCCCCTGCATCCCCCTGTCCCCGTCCCTGCACCCCTGTCCCCCTGCCACTCCCCGCCACCCCTCCTGCCCCTCATCATGTGCCCCCCATCCCACCCCTGGGGACATCAGTGCCACGACCTTGACCTGTCCTGGGATCGATGGGGTTGGGGGATGGAGGGTTGGAGTTCATCACCCCGGGGCAGAGGGAGCTAATCCCGGGTGCTGCTGTGGGGTGACAGCCCTGTCCCCTCGTGTGCCCCCCTGCCACAGGGACCGACCTGCCGGTGTGTGCGAGCTGTGGGCAGGGCATCTACGATGGGCAGTACCTGCAGGCGCTGAAGGCAGACTGGCACTCGGACTGCTTCAGGTGGGACCCGCCGGGGGACAGCGGGGACACCGGGAGGGGTGGCAGCGGGACCCCGGGATGGCACTGGGGACACCGAGATGGGGGCATCAGGATGGGTGGTGTGATGGACACTGGAATGGATGGCCTTAGGGACATCGAGATGGCATCAGGGACACCAGGATGGCATCGGGGATATCAGGATGGGTGGTGTCATGGACACTGGAATGCAAGGCATCAGGGACACTGGGATGGCCTCAGGGGCACCGGGATGGCATCAGGGACATCAGGATGGCATCAGGGACATCAGGATGGGTGGTGTAGTGGACACCAGCATGGATGGCCTTAAGGACACTGGGATGGCCTCAGGGATACCGGGATCAGGGACAATGACTCCCCCCCCCCCCCCCCGGCTCTGGTGGTGGCACAGCCGGGTGTGAGGCTGTCACGGTGTCACACGCACCCGAAGCGTGGCTGTGCATCCTGGCACCCGCGGTGGGTGCCCCGGGCAATGCCCGGCCTGGCGGGGGGCCCTGCTGCCTGTCCCCGGCGCTGTCCCCTCCTGGCCGGTGACAGGGTGCGCGTGGCTGATGTCACCCGCCCCCCTCCCTCCCTGTTTCCTCTTTCACTCGAGCCCTCCCGGCAGCTCCAGCCGTGGGAGCCCCGAGGAGGACAAGGAGGAAAGTCCCGGCTCGGGGGTCGCAGGGGGTGGCCGGGACCTGCCGGGGTTCCCCGTGGGGCTGGGGGTGCCCGGGGTGTGCCCGGGGTGTCCCCCCTGTCCCCGGGGGAGGATGCTGGCGGCGGTGCTGAGGAAGAGCCGCGTCCTGAGCGCTGGAGCCAAGTGAGTGGGAGTGGGGATGGGGATGGGAGTGGGAGTGGGATCGGGTCAGGACGGATTTTCACCCCATGGACCCCTGGGGGTCTCAGCCTGTGCCCCCCATTCCCCCCTCCTTGGGCCGTCGGCCCCAGCGAAGCCACTGCGGGGCCGCAGCTGGATCCGGCCCCCCCGCCTCGGGTGAGCGGCTTCCGGCAGCGCTGGGGAGCCTTCTCCCTCCTCCTCCTCCTCCTCCTCCTCCTCCTCCCCCTCCTCCTCCTCCTCCTCCTCCTCGCGCTGCTCCCCTTCCTCCCCCTCCTCCCCGTCCCCGTCCCCATCCCCGCCCCCAGCCCAGGGGATGGTTCGTGCTGCGCCATCGGGCGGGGGAGTCCTCGCGCGGTGACGTCATGGGGTGGGGAAACTCCTCGCCGTGACGTCACCGCTGGTTGGTGTTTCACCTGCGCGCCCACGGCTGGAGGGGGGGACTGCGACACTCCCCGGGCACCCCCCAACACCTCCTGCAGCGTGTCCTGCAGCAACCCCCACACCTACAGCAAATCCCCTACAGCACCCCTCTGCATCCCCCCTACAGCACATCCCCTATAGCATCCCCTCTGCATCCCCCCTACAGCACATCCCCTATAGCACATCCCCTACAGTACATCCCCTATAGCATCCCCTCTGCATCCCCCCTACAGCACATCCCTTACAGCACATCCCCTATAGCACATCCCCTATAGCATCCCCTCTGCATCCCCCCTACAGCACATCCCCTATAGCACCCCCTCTGCATCCCCCCTACAGGACATCCCCTATAGCACATCCCCTATAGCATCCCCTCTGCATCCCCCCTACAGGACATCCCCTATAGCACATCCCCTATAGCATCCCCTCTGCATCCCCCCTACAGCACATCCCCTACAGCACATCCCCTATAGCATCCCCTCTGCATACCCCACTACAGCAAATCCCATATAGAATCCTCTCTGCATCCCCCCCAGCAAATCCCTACAGCAAATCCCCTACAGCATCCCCTCTGCATCACCCCTACAGCAAATCCCCTGTAGCATGCCCTCTGCATCCCCCCTATAGCATCCCCTCTACATCCCCCCTGCAGCAAATCCCCTATAGCAAATCCCCTACAGCACCCCCTGCACCCCTTCTGCAACCCCACGATCACTCTTCCCCCTTATAGGAACTCCCCACCTGCAACCCTCCTGGTCCCCTAAAGCAACCCCCTACAGCAAATCCCCTATAGCATCTGTCCTGCACCTTGTCTGTACCCCTCCAACAACCCACCCCCATATCCCATATGGGAACTCTACACTTGCAGCCCCCCTGCACCCCTACAGCACATCCCCTATAGTGCCCCTCCTGCACCCTGCAACCATACCCCCCTGCATCCCCTATGGGAACTCCCCAGTGCAGCCCCCCTGCACCCCTCCCACAGCACCCCCATACAGCAAATCCCCTATAGCACCCCCCTGCATCCCCCACACCTCCCCACCCCAGTCCCCTCTAGTACCCCCTGCCCCGCTCCTGCCCCTGACACAGCACCCCTGTACCTGCCTGTGCACCCCAAACCTGACAGCCCCCCATACCCCTGGGTGCCCCCTCCTGTGGCACAGCCCTGTCACCCCCTGGCAGCCCCCGAGCACATCCCCAACCCCTGCATCCCCTGGGGCACTGCACCCCCAAGGATGGCGTGTCCCTCTGGTTGGGGGTTTGTGACCAAGGAGACACGTCCCTCTGACTGTGACCAGGGTGACAGATCCATGGGCAGGATCCCCCTTGTGTGACCATGGACAGGCTGGCACATCTGTGACCAGGGTGGCACCAGGGTGGGATGTCCCTCTGTCCGTGACCAGCCTGTCACATCCTTCTGTGTGTCTGTGCCAGGCTGGCATGTCACCGTAGCCATACATAGAGAGACATGTCCTTCTGTGTATCTGTCACCAGGGTGGGATGTCTTCTCTGTCCATGACCAGGCTGGCACATCCCTCTGTGTGTCTGTGCCAGGCTGGCACGTCTGTCACCAGGGTGGCATGTCTGTGACTGGTCTGGCACATCCCTCTGTGTGTCCATGCCCAGGCTGGCATGTCCATGCCAGGCTGTCACCTCCCTGCCCCATGTCTGTCCCAGCTTGGTGTCCCCAGATGTTCCTGCAGCACCAGCCTGCACTGTCACCCCTGGAATCCCCTGCTGCCACCCTGGGGAAGGTGGCACACGGATGCAGTGGGGTAGGAAACAGGGGAAGCAGCTTGTCCAGAGATCCATGGGGTGGAGGAGCACTGGCTGTGCCCTGGGGTGACAATGGGGACGGGTGACAAGGGTGTCCCTGTCCCTGGCGCAGGTGCTGCGAGTGCGGGGCCTCCCTGTCCCACCAGTACTACGAGAAGGATGGGCGGCTGTACTGCAAGAAGGATTACTGGGCACGCTTTGGGGAGCTGTGCCACGGCTGCTCCGAGCACATCACCAAGGGGCTGGTCATGGTGAGCACCGGGGGGTCCCTGGGGGTCCCTGGGGTGGGACACGGAGCCCTGACCCACAGCTGAGCTCCTGGAAAAGGGTGAGGTGGGGAGGGAGTGCAGACCCCCAGCACGGGTTGGGCTTTGGGGGTTTGCACTTTAGGTGGGACTGAGGGAGGCTCAGGGTGGTGGGAGAATGTCCCTGCAGTCGTTCCCAGCCTGGTGGCACCTCTGTCCCCACCACCCTGCCCGCCCTTCCGTTGTGCCCGGTGCACCCGTGGGTGCTCCCAGCACCACGCAAACCCCGTCACTCACCCTCGGTGCCCCGGACACGGGGGTCCCGGGGCTGATGGCATCTGCCCACAGGTGGCTGGGGAGCAGAAGTACCACCCCGAGTGCTTCAGCTGCCTCAACTGCCGCACGTTCATCGGGGACGGGGACACCTACGCGCTGGTGGAGCGCTCCAAGCTCTACTGGTATGTGCCAGCCCGCGTGGGAGGGTGGGGACTGCATCCCCTGGCACCCCCCGCCCACCCTTCTCTCCCCTTGTCCCCGCAGCGGGCACTGCTATTACCAGATGGTGGTGACGCCGGTGATCGAGCAGATCCTGCCGGATTCCCCGGCTTCCCGCATCCCACACACCGTCACGCTCGTCTCCATCCCCGCCTGCTCCGACGGAAAACGCGGCTTCTCCGTGTCCATCGACCAGGGCTGTGGCACTGAGCACCCCCGCACCGTCCGTGTCCGAGAGTGCGTCCCTGTCCCCTCTGCCACCCGCCCCGCCCCAGGGCTGGGCCATCCCGTGTCCCTTCTGCTGCTGGGATCCACCCCAGGGACACCTTCTGGGGTGGGAGGAGGAGGGATGGGGTCCTCATTGGCCAGCATGGCACGTCCCCAGCTGCAGGGGGGTGTTGTGGGATCCACGCTGATTTGTCCCAGGCCATCAGTGTGGCTGGGGGGTGACATGCTGGCAGTGCCCCTGGGTACCAGGCTGGCACATCCCCATGTGGTTGAGGTGGCTCGTGGGCACTGTGCCAGCATGTCCCTGTCCAGGAGGAGGGACCTGTGCCTGCGTGTCCCCATCTAGCAGAGGTGACTCGTGGGGACCATGACTGTGTGTCCCCATCCCAAAGGGTGACTCGTGGGTGTCATGACAGCATGTCCCCATCCGGCAAGGGTGACCCGTGGGTGCCATGACTGCGTGTCCCCATCCAACAAGGGCATCATGCCTGCATGTCCCTGACCAACAGTGGGTGGCCTGTGGGTATCTTACCTCCACATCCCCATCTTGCAGGGGTGGCTCGTGGGTGCAGTGACTGTGTGTCCCCGGAGATGACTCGCAGGGGCTGTGCCAGCCTGTCCCCTCCCCACTGACTGGTGGGGGGGACATGGGCAGTATCCCAGCACATCCTCAGTGGTGACAGTGTCAGGAGGTGATTCCATGGGCAGTGTCCCCAGCACATCTCCACCAGTGAGGATGTCAGGGAGGCGACCCCGTGGGCAGTGTCCCAGCACACTCTTGGGGGTCTGACCCTGCTTCCTGCTGGGCCCCCAGGGTGGACCCAGACTGCATCAGCCCTGACATGAAGAACTCCATCCACGTGGGCGACCGCATCCTGGAGATCAATGGCACCCCCATCGGCCACGTCCCCCTGGACGAGGTACATCCCCCCCGGGATGCCCCCCAACCAGCCCCCCCTCCTTGGCATGGCCCCAAAACGACCCCACTGTCCTTTCCTACCCCCAGATCGACCTGCTGATCCAGGAGACCAGCCGCCTGCTCCAGCTGACCATCGAGCACGACCCCCACGAGCCCCTTGCCCGGGAGCCGGGGCTGGCCGGGAGCCCCCTGCCTGCCCCGTGCAGCCCCCTGCGCTCCCCGGCCCCCCCGGAGCCCGCGGCCATGCGCCAGCGCGCTGTCACGTAAGGCCACCGCCTCGGCCCCTCTCCCCTTGGCGTCCCTCCTGGGGGCTGACCCTCTGTCCGTCCGTCCCACAGGAGGAGCTGCAGCACGGACAAGTCCCCTGGCTCGGGCTCCGTGGGCTCCCCCGCGTCCCAGCGCAAGGACATCGGGCGCTCCGAGTCCCTGCGCGTCGTGTCCCGCGCCCACCGCATCTTCCGCCCCTCCGACCTCATCCACGGGGAGGTGCTGGGCAAGGGCTGCTTCGGCCAGGCCATCAAGGTGGGACTCGTGGCACAAGCGTGGGGGTCTGGGCTCCCTGGGGTAGAGGGGGGTGGTGTCCCCAGAGGTGGGGGTGGCTCAGTCTCTGCGCTCCCAGGTGACCCATCGGGAGACGGGCGAGGTGATGGTCATGAAGGAGCTGATCCGCTTCGACGAGGAGACACAGAGGACCTTCCTCAAAGAGGTGAGTGTCCCCTTTCCATAACCTCCCTTTCCTTAACTCCCCTTCCCTTTAACCCCCCTGGTTTGGGGGGACAGGAGGGGTGGGGCTGTCCCATCCTGTCCCCCACCTGACGTGGGTCTGGGCACAGCACGTGGAATGGGGTGTCCCGGCACTGTGGGTGCAGCCCTGCCCGCAGCAGGGGGTCTGCCCAGGTGGGTGTGGGTGCCTCGGGGTGTCACGGACACGGGGGGTGTGGGGGGTCTCCTGCAGGTGAAGGTGATGCGCTGCCTGGAGCACCCCAACGTGCTCAAGTTCATCGGGGTGCTGTACAAGGAGAAGAGGCTCAACTTCATCACGGAGTACATCAAGGGGGGCACCTTGAGGGGCCTCATCAAGAGCATGGTGAGCACTGGGGGGACAGGTTGGCCCTCACCACCCCACAGTGGGGCTGGGGGACCCCTCTCCTTTTCTGTTCTGTGGCAAATCCTTCCTCCTGCTCCCCAGGACAGCCACTACCCCTGGAGCCAGCGGGTCAGCTTCGCCAAGGACATCGCTGCCGGCATGGTGGGTGTCACTGTGGGGTGGGTGTCACTGTGGGGTGGGTGGGTGTCATTGTGGGGGGAGTGGGTGTCACTGTGGGGTGGGTGGGTGTCCCTGTGGGATGAGTGGATGGGATGGATGCTGGTGGGCGGGGGGGTTCTGTGGTGTGGGGGTGCCCCCAGTCTCAGCCTGTCCTTCCCCCAGGCCTACCTCCACTCCATGAACATCATCCACCGTGACCTCAACTCCCACAACTGCCTCGTGCGGGAGGTGAGTCCCACCCCGGCCGTGTCCCTGCCCTGGCCCGGGGGGGGTCTCAGCCCCCTGTGTGGCTCCCCTGTGCCTCACCCCCTCTCCACCCCCCCAGAACAAGAGTGTGGTGGTGGCTGACTTTGGGCTGGCGAGGCTGATGGTGGACGAGAAGAACCAGCCCGAACATCTCAAGAACCTGAAGAAACCGGACCGCAAGAAGCGATACACAGTGGTGGGGAACCCCTACTGGATGGCCCCCGAGATGATCAATGGTGAGGGGCAGCGTGGCCAGCCAGGGCTCTGTCCCCAGGCAGGGACTGTTGGTGGGGCAGGGACGGGCCGTGCGTGGTGTGGCCTGACCTGTGTGTCCCCACAGGGAGGAGCTACGACGAGAAGGTGGACATCTTCTCCTTTGGCATCGTCCTGTGTGAGGCAAGGACTCCTGGGGCTGGGGTCTTCCACTGGGGCTGGGGTCCTCAATGTGTTTGGGTTAACCTGCCCCCGTGGTTGGGGTGTCCCCTTTGGGGTTGGGGTGTCCCCTTTGGGTTGGGGTGTTTAGAGTCTCCCCTTTGGGATTGGAGTGTCCTCCCTTGGGCTTGGGGTGCTCACTGGGTCTGGGTTCTCTCCCCCTGGGATTGGGGTGTCCCTCTGGGAATTGAGATCCTCAGTGTGCTTGGGGTTGGGGTCCTCATTGTGTTTGGGGTCCCCCTTGGGGTCAGAGTCTTTGTTATGTTTAGGGTTATGTTTAGAGTGCCCCCTATCCAGGATTGGGATTTCCCTCTTGGAGTTGGGGTCCTCATTATGCTTGGGTTCCCCCTCTTGGGCTTGGAGTCCTGCCTTGGGCTTGGGGTCTCCCTCTTGGGGTCTCCCTGTTGTGTTTGGCATCACCTTTGGGGCTTGGACATATTCCCTTTAGGGCTTGGGATCTCCTCTTTAGGGGTGGGGTCCTCATTGTGCTTGGGTTCCTCCTCTTGGGCATGTAGCCCTCCCTTGGGGTTGGAGCCTCCCCACTTGGGTTTGGGGTCTCCCTGTTAGGGTCTGCCCCTCTGGGTTGGGGTCCTCATTGTGTTTGGGGTCCTCCCTTGGCCGTGGGTCCTCATTGTGTTTGGGGTTCTCCTTTGGGGATTGGAGGGTCCCCTTTGGGCTTGGGGTCTCCCCTTGGGGCTGAGCCCCCTCCTCCCTCCCTTCGCCCCCAGATCATCGGCCGGGTGAGCGCCGACCCCGATTACCTGCCCCGCACCACCGACTTCGGCCTCAACGTCAGGGGCTTCCTGGAGCGCTACTGCCCCCCCGCCTGCCCCCCCAGCTTCTTCCCCATCGCCGTCACCTGCTGCGACCTGGACCCCGAGAAGCGGTGAGGGGCCGCAGACCCCCCTGGGGACCCCGGGGGCACGGGGTGGGGACGGGGCGAGTGGAGCTGCCAAGTTGTCCCCCCTTGTCGCCCAGGCCGTCCTTCGCCAAGCTGGAGCAGTGGCTGGAGACCCTCCGCATGCACCTGGAGATCCACCTGCCGCTGAGCTCCCAACTGGAGCAGCTGGACCGAGCCTTCGGGGAGACGCACCGGCGGGGGGAGGGCGGGGTCCCTGCGCCCCCCCGATAGACCCCCACCCACCCGCCCACCAACACCCCTCCGGAGCGGCGGGAGAAGGAGCTGCACCCGCCGCCAGCACCTCCTGGGGCTGCCCCCACCCCACCCCCGGGGCTGGACCCCCGGGGCTCCCTGGATGCATCCCCCCCCCCCCCCCCCCCCCCTCCCCTCACGGGCCGCCCGCCCCGCTGCCCCCACCGCCCCGGGGAGCCGGCTCTCCCCGGGGCCGCATGGCCCTGGGCACCCCCCACGCCGTAGCTCTGCCCCCGGGGACCGTCCGGGTGTCCCCGTGTCCCCCCGCCCCGGCTCACCTCCCCTTTGCACACCGGGGGCTGCCCCGCACGACCCCCCGGACAGAGCCGCGGCCTCGCGGCGGTGCCTTGGCTTTCCGTGAACTTGCACTGCGACACAGGAGGGACCCCCGGCTCCCTCGGGAGGGGGTCCACGGCCCCCCCAGGGCCTTGCCCCCCCAGGGCACCCTCGTAGCAACGCCCTCGGCCGGCCTCTCACGCTGCTCCCGCTGGCACCCCGGTCCCGGGGGGGCTGCCGAGCGAGGGGTCCGTGTGGGGGGACACTCCCGTGGCGTGGGGACAGGCACGTAGCGGTCCCCGCCGCCCCCACGCCCCCCTGCCCCGCGTGCACGCCCGGGGGCAGCGCCGGGTGGGATGCCCGGGTGGGATGCAGGGCTCGCCTGGGTCCCCTCGGCCCGCGGGGGCTCGGGGCGGGGCTCGGGGGCTGCGCCACGCGGTGCTTTTCATGCTCTTTATTCAGGTTCATTTTTCTGTAAGATATTTAAAGAGAAGAGTTTGTATTATTTTTTCATACGACGTAGCGTTTGCCATTTGTCACTGCCTCGGTTCTGCTTTCCCGAAGGGATCAAACTGTGAAGCCTCTCCGCGCACTTTTGCCCGGGAAGTCCAAGGCGACGCCCCCTCCGGAGGCGGGGAGGGAGCTCAAACTGTGATGTACCCCGAGCCGTGAGTCAATAAATCCTTCCCCGCTCGCTGCCCGGCCTGCTTGGCAATCGCTCGCCTCCCCCGGGGGGGCTGGGAGCTCGTGGGGACACTGAGGCAGGAGGGGACGGTCCCCCCTGCTCAGGGGTGTGGTGGTTCTGGGCTTGGTGGCACCCCCGGCTCGGTCACCCCCGTGGTGGCAGCGCTGTCGCCCTTCCTGCTGTCCCCACCCCGTCGTGGTTCCTGCCAGGCTCCCCCAGCCCTGTGTCCCCTCCCTGGCCCGGTGGCCGTGCCATGACATGGCGTGACATGTCACCACTGTCCCCCCCGGGTGGTGACAGGCGGGTGATGGAGCTGTTGTGACCGTTGTTGCCGTGGAGCCTTTGCTGTCCCCTGGGACCAAGGTGGCCCATGCAGTGGTGGCCCGTGGCCCTGCCATGCTGTCCTCTGTCCTTGCCACCTTCCTAAACCAAATTAAGGTCCCCAAGGTGGGGGATCTCCGTCCTCGGGGGGTGTTGAGCTTTGGAAGCTGGAGAAGACTTGGAACTCAAGGAGCTCATGGGGGAGTGACAGGGAGGGGACTGGGGGGATGTCCCCAAGGATGTCCCCGGATTTGCTGCAGCTGGGAGAGGAGCCTGAAGGGGTTCTGGGATCCAGGCTGGAATGTCCATCAGCAGACCTCATGGTTTATTGTTCAGGGATGCTCAGCTGGAGGGACCAGAGGGGTTGGGGAGGTGACAGTGGCTCTGTCCCCTCCAGGGTGGCTCCTGACTGCTTGTCACCCAGTACCCAGTGAAGGACAGGGACAAATTGTCCCTGTCAGTGTCATGGGGCTGTCATGCCACCCTTGGTGACACCACACTGCCCTTGGTGACATCCTACCGTGCTGGCTCTTTGCTCTGCGAGCAGGATGCTGTCACTCCCTGGGAACATTGGGGACCTGCTGTGGCTGTCACACCTGGGAAACCCCGTGGTCCCCAATCCCCTGCTGCCTGGGGGACCTCCAGCCCTGCAGGGGGAACCCCCACACCCAGGGGACCTCCAGGCCTCCCCATCCCCTCCCCCAGCTGGGTGGAGCTGTGGGGTGTGATGTGCCTGGTGGTGCTGGTGGCCCTTCAGAGGACCCTCAGTGCCAGGATGGGCGGGCCAGCAGCTGGCCATGACAGGTGGCCACTCAGTCACCCCCATGACCAGCAATTCGTCCCAGACCAAGCCACTGGCCAGGACACCCCTCATGAGGCAGGGAGGTGGCCCTGGCATAGCCCCAGTGGCCCCACACCATGACTGTCACCCACCCAACCCCTGCCCATGGAGGTTCTTCAGCACCCTGTGTCCAAATCCAGCCACTGGCATGTGTGGCACCAGGTCCCCTGCCAGCCCCTGCCCAGGGGCCACAGCCTGGCAGGGTCCTTGCAGCCCCCACACCAATGTGGCCTGACACCGGTGTGAGGCCCCCTCACTCCCAGCACCTCTCTGTCCCCTCAGCCACCACCTCCCAGGAGGGGACAAGGACACCCAGATCAGGTCACAGGCCATCAAGAGCTGCCACTGCACCCACTGTCCCCCCCCACCAACTCCTGCTCTGTGCCCACCCAGGGGTGTCCCTGGTAAGGTTCTGCCGAGGCCTGACCCCGGTTTGGGATGGTGGCAGCTGGGGAGACAGATGTCCCCACCAAGGTGGTGGCCAAAGGCACCAGTGGCTCTGGCAAGGACAGACCAAGAGCTCTGGGTCCAGCCAGGATCCATGGGCCACCTGGTTTATCACCTTCTTCATGGGTGAGTTTGGGGCTCCAGGGAAGAGGAAGAGCCTGGCTCCTCCCAAAATTGTGGCAGGGTGGGCACTGGGGCTGTGGGGACCTTCCTGTGGACAGGGGGTGATGGGCAGTGGGGTCCTCACAAGGAGAGGAGCTGCTGGGGACTGGTCAGGGCACCCAGCTCCATAGGGGTGTGTGGAACTGGTGAGGGGTCACCGGGGTCCTTCTGGGGTGTCCAACTCCATGGAGACAGATTCCCATCTCCAGCCAGAGGAAGGGTCACCCACACAGGAGGATATTCCAGTGGTGAGCAGGTGATGCCACTGGCATCCTCTGGAGCCTTTTCCACCTCAGCCCATCCCTTTCTGAGCTAGAGGCTGGAATAGAGACATCTGGGGATCATTCCCACCCTCCACCCCTCTGATCCACCATCCCATGCTGGCACCTGGCTCTCCCTGTCCTCAGAGCCACCCTTTGTCCCCTGGGCACAGCATCCATCCTTCCAGCTCAGGACTGGGACTTTCTGTGGTTCTGGAGTGGCCTGAGCCCTCCCTCCATGAGGGACACGGAGGTGTCACTGTCACAGCCTTGTGTCGTCTCCCCCAGCCTGGGCTGGAATAGGAGCCACCTGCTTGGGTCACACGTGTCACCAGGACCTGGTGACTCCACAGGGAACATCCAGACCCCTGAAAACCCTGTGGGGGCTCAGGCCAATGCTGGGGGGTCAGTACCCACCTGCCTCACTTTACCCTCTGCCCAGAGCCGGGGTGTGGAATACGAGGATGGGAAGCAGGAGCTGTTGCAGCAGCTCCCTGTGTGTCCCCCCCCCAGATGTCCCCTGGTCCCTGAGAGATGAGGCTCATCCCAGGCAGATCCAGGCAGGGAAATCCCATGGGACATGCATTCCCACCTCACTTGCCAGCAGTTTTTGTAGGGTCTATGTAAATGTGACATTTATAAACACAGCTCTGGGAATACAGCTCGCCTGTGCGTCGCTGTTGTCCCGCCCCTCTCTGCCAGCTGGGGACACGTGGGCCCCATCCCTGACCCAGCTGGTGGTCTTGGGGGACAGAGGGGCCTGGGAGGGGACAGCCAGGGCAGGCCTGGAAAACCTCAGCTCCTTCCGATGGGAAAAATCGCTTCTCCTCGGTCCCGCTGCCGTCCTCCCCCAGCTCCGGCACAAAACCCTTCCCAGCACGGGTTCCAGAGGAGGTGAGTGATGGGCTGGGAGCTTGGGGTGGCATCAGGGCACCTCTGATTCCCCAGTGCCACCAGGTGCCCAGGTGGGACCAGGAATGGGCAGCTTTGGCTGGTGAGTCCTTTGTGAGGGGCTTTGGGGGCTGGTGGCATGTGACGAGTTGTGGGAAGGCTCAGGACAGGGCTTGGAGTGAGACCACCTGGGCTCACAGGTTTGGATGGCTGTGACTCTGTCCCTGCTGCTGTGCCACCATCCCATGGAACTCATCTGTGTCCAAACCCCTCCAAGGGGCTGGCACAGGCTGGACATGGGGGAATATGGACCCCCACACACACACCCAGACCCCTTTGCCTTGGAGACAAGGATGGAGAGACCCTGTTGTATAGGTTTGGGGGCTGGTTTAAGGCTTGGGGGACCCCAGTGCATGGGTTTGGGGAGACCCTGGTGTGTGGGGTTTGGATTTGGGAGACCCCAGAAGGCCCCAGGTTTTGGGGGTCTCTGCTGCCTTGTAAGACTCAAGCCCAGGGAGCGACCCCGGCTCAGATCAAGGGAAATAAGCCAAAGGACAGGAGTTACACTCCAGGTTTTTGGGGTCCACCCTGAGCACAGACCCCCAAACCCACCTGGACATTGTGCTGGAGCAGAACTTGGGGGGCACCGTGGGATGCTTGATGTGGCTTATCCTCTCCGTGCTGTGAAAAATGAGTTTATTCCCAGCTTGGAGTCTGTTTGGAGACTGGAAATCGCAACCTCTGCCCGTCCTTTGGGGAGGCTTTTGGGATGGACCCTTCAGGGCTTTGGGATATGTTTCCCTGGGGGCAGCAGCGAGGTGCTCCTCTCCACTGGCATTCCTCGGCCCTGCCACTGCGCTGGGAAGCCCCCAAAACTGCATCTGTTGCAACAGAAGGAGCTAAAAATAGTCGTTCTCACGGCGGATGCAGGGAAGCATCCAAATATGCGGCCTCGGGAGCTGCCAGCAGCCGAGGACGGGGCTGACCCCCAGCCCATGCCTGGCTGACACCCTGCGACCTCTGCCACCCCAAATCTTCCCCCACTGACCCTTTGAAGCCCCCTCAGTGCAACCCGAGCCCCCAGGACCTGTCTCGATGCTGGGGCTCTGCTGAGTGCAGGCAGGGGGAGCAGGCAGCCCCCCGGTGCAGGCAGGGATGCAGGCACAGCAGGGAGGGGGAGCAGGCAGCCCCTGGGTGCAGGCAGGGTTGCAGGCACAGCAGGCAGGGGGAGCAGACAGCCC